TTTTGTTTTGCTTTGTTTTGTTTTCTCATATGATGTTTATGAAACACTTGCATCATAGCTCACGTGTTTAAAGAACAGAGAGGCCAAAGTGAAATGTCAGGTGCAAACTGAGTGTCAGGAGGTGACCATCACTCAGAAACTCATCCTGAGGAAATAATTCAGCCGAAATAAAAACCACTCATACTGGAAAGCAGCAAAAATTATACATATGACAAAATAAGTGAAAGCCAAGTCCATTGTATTGTACTGGGCTAATAATTAGAGCTCTCAAGACAGCTTGAATGGAAATGCAATTCAAAATTATCTGGACCTTATTATGATAGTTATGTATACTTTTGTGATGGAAAGTCAGATATATAGAGAGGAGGAGAGACAGAGAGGAAGATCTTCCGTCTGATGATTCACTCCCCAAGTGACTGCAACAGCTGGTGCTGTGCCGATCTGAAGCCAGAAGCCAGGAACCTCCCCCGGGTCTCTCACACAGGTGCAGGGTCCCAAGGCTTTTGGGCCGTCCTCGACTGCTTTCCCAGGCCACAAGCAGGGAGCTGGATGGGAAGTGGGGCTGCTAGGATTAAAACCGGTGCCCATAGGGGATCCCGGTGCGTTCAAGGTGAGGACTTTAGCTGCTAGGCCATGGTGCCGGGCCCATATCCACACTTTTTACATATATATAAAGATGAGGGTACCTCAAAAAGTTTATGGAGAATGCACACTATGAATTAAGTTCTGAAATGTATCTTTTAATTGCATTTTCCATGACTGTTTTGAAGATCCTTGGCTCATAGTGCTTAAGCCACAGTTAAGATAATAATATATGTTGGGGCTCACCTAGGGATAGCACATAAAACCTGTGCCTGTGACGCCGGCATCCGCTGGGGGGCTGGGTGGTGTCCTGTCTGCTCCACTTCTGATCCAACTCCTTGCTGGTGTCCTGGAAAAAGCGACAGACGATGACCCAAGCTCTGGGACACCTGCATTCACGTGGGGGACACAAATAATGTTCCTGGCTTCTGGTTTTGGATTGGTGCAGCTCGGCCCACCTGTGGCCGCCTGCGCAGTGAACCAGCAGATGAAAGATCTAGCTCCTTTTCATCTCTTATTTGCCTTTCTTATAAGTCTTTTTTAATAATAGATTTATTTTGTTTTTATTGGAAAGACAGGTATATAGAGAGGAGACAGAGAGAAAGGTCTTCTACCCGCTAGTTCACTCCCCAAGCAGTCGCAAAAGCTGGAGCTGAGGCGATCTGAAGCTGGGAGTCAGGAGCTGCTTCTGGGTCTTCCAAGCAGGTGCAGGGTCCCAAGGCCTTAGGCCACTTTTCTCTTTCTTTCCCAGTTCACTAGAGAGCTAAAGGAGAAGTGGAGGAGCTGGGACATGAACAAGCGTGCATATGGGATCCCAGTGGCTGCAAGGCCAGGGTTTAGCCACTAGGTTACTGTGCTGGACTCATACATAATTAAAAAATAAAAGTGGCTAGGCTGCTGTGGCCATTTGGAGAGTGAACCAGTAGTTTCTGTCTCTCACTGTCTCTCCTTCTGCCTTCCAAGTAACGTGACAAGGACTAGGATTAGCCTGATTATCTGCTAAGACTACATTTCCCAGATGACCTTGCATCTAGCCACAGCCACATAATTAGCCTCAAGCCAGTGAAATCTGAGCAGGAAAGCCAGGTACAATTTCATACTTCCATCCTCAGAAGGAGCCACCATTCACTGCCTTTCTCTTTCAGGACACACACACACACACACACACACACACACACACACACACACACACGGAAGAGAGCGGCTGACAGAATGCTCCTACCCATTGACCCATTGATTAACACCTACATGGCCACAGCGGCCTGACTAGGCTCAGGCCAGGGGCCCAGAACATAAGCCAGGTCTGCTGTGAAGGTAGCAGGTGCCCTGTTACCTGAGCGGTCCACACTACCTCCCCAGGCTTGCGTGGCTGGAAGCTGAGTCAAGAGCCAGAGCCTGACACTGAGCTGCCGAGTGCAGGGAGGGTGCGGGTGCAGGGGAGTGGGTGTGTTAACTGCTTCCAAACTACTGAATTCTCAGGCCTAAGTGGCTTTGCACGTTGGGCTGTGTGTGAAGCTTTCAGGTTCTATGTTCCACCTTCCCTGTTCATTAAAGCTGTAGCATCACTGTCATTCACCATCATTATCCCTACCTTCCAGAGCTACTCTTTTTCTTTTTTAAAGATTTATTTTTATTGGACAGTCAGATATACAGAGAGGAGGAAAACCAGAGAGGAAGATCTTCCGTCCGATGATTCACTCCCCAAGTGATCGCAATGGCTGAAGCTGAGCCAATTTGAAGCCAGGAGCCAGGTCTCACACACGGGTACAGGGTCCCAAGGCTTTGGGCCATCCTCAAATGCTTTCCCAGGCCACAGGGAACTGGACGGGAGGTGGGGCTGCTGGGATAAGAACCGGCGCCCATATTGGATTCTGGCGCGTTCAAGGTGAGGACTTCAGCTGTTACTCTATCACACCAAGCCCCTGAGTCACTCTTAAGGACCTAATGCTGATTGTATTCTAATGGTTGGATCACTACCTAAGACACATTCGGCGTTGTTCGTTGAGTAAACAAAGTGAATGCCATGTCATCCGTCAGAAGGGTGAATGTTAAAGCAACTGATCCTATCAAACGTTGCCAACGAGTTAGAAATGGGCTCTTTTGGGTATTTGTGGCTGACAAGCCAATTAATTGCATTTCTTAAAATTAAAAAAAGAAACCCTGTGCACTCTTTGGCCCAGAAATTCTACCTTTTTGTAGCTGCCCTAGATAAATACATCTGTGTAATGAAGCTCCTGTAGGTATCTCCATTGCAACACTGCATGCACAAAAATGGAAATTAACCTAAATGTTTTGCAACCAGTCAGTGTGGCTACCTGGTGGCCCTGGGGCTTTGTCCTGCGCGCATGTGGTGGTACGGACCTGAACAGTGTTGTCAGATCTGAAGTCAGCTGTCAATAGGTAGGACACAGACTTTGTTACAAAAATCCAGACTTTCAATTGCTCTTAAAACTCTCCAACTCTGTGTCCTCTGGATTGATGTGTCAACACTAGAACAGGGGCCAGCATTGTTAGCATTCAAACAAATGAGCGAGACTCCAAGGCCAGTGAATTGTCTTATTCTGCAATCAAGTGGCCATTTGCCATGAGCAAAGTGCCTGGAACAAAATAAACTGGGGGGGGGGGGTATGGAGCTTATAGCAAGTATCTATGTAAGAATGAACAGCTACGTGACAGTGGACAAATACAAATACAACGAGCGTCATCTTTGTGACACAGAGCAGAAAGCAGGCAGCAAAGATTTACAATGAACAGGCTCAGGACTCCGATCCTATGACTTCGTTGCAGACACTGTAAAACAGCATGCCTTGGGGGTTGCTGTCCTTCCTGTACATCCCAAAACTCCAAGATCCTATCCAGCTCCTGTCTGCTTCCTGATACTTCCAGAACCAGAGTTTTCGTTTCTTCAGAGAGTTCAGACTTCCAGGAATACAGTCACCTTTACAATCAATCCTTTTACAGCATCCAGGTGGAGCTCGGAGTCATAGCCTCCTATGCCAGTATCCCATTATAAGCAGCAGTTCACGTCCCCGTTGCTTCTCTTCCCATCCAGCTCCCTGCGAATGGCTCAGGAAGAGACTGAAGCCAGGAGCTGGAAGTCCATCTAGGTCTCCTGTGTGGGGGGTAGGGACCCCAGGATTAGAGTGACCACCACCACCCCCCTGCCTGCCATGGCGCCCCAAGCAGGAAACTGGAATTGGAAGCAGGGTTGGAACTTAAAGTAAGCACCCCGACTTGGGATGTGGGGGTCTCCACCAGCCATCTTAATCACTGTGCCGAAAGCCAGCTCTCTTTTTTAAAAGCTTCTTTATTTTCATCCCATTTGAAAGGCAGTGAGAGACATTCCTTGTGAACCTTTGAAAGGACACCCCTGGGCATAGTCCAGGAGGTACTGGAGCACAAACGCTAAATCCAAGTCAGTAATTCCAACAAAGAACTTAGTCAGGCAAGGTGGAGGCCAAGAGAAGCTTTGGTTTCAGAGCTTAACTCTTTCCCAGGAAGGATGAGAACACAGCATCACATACATTTTGAAATATACTGATTCACTGATTTGAAAGGCAGAGTTAGAGAGAGAGCATCCGTGCGCTGGGAGGCCAGAAGCCTGCAGTGCCGTCAGTCTGGACAGACAGCCCAAGCACCAGAGCCACCAGGCCCTGCATTCCCAGCCGCAGTGACACCCCACTCTCGGGGCCCCGGGAGGACAGGGGACAGGAGAGAGGGTTGCACCCGTGATCACAGTCTTCCCTGGTCACAACACCTCTCTCGAGTTTTTCATTATTCTGAATTCTGTAGCCACAGGACAAGATACAACGTATACAAGAGAAGGTGTCCAGGTAAAAAAGTTTTTTTCAAGAAGCAGCCAATGTGTGGATCTGAGGCACTTCCCCTCAGCGGAAGGCTGCGCCTGGCTGGGGTTTTCAGAAGCGTCCAGAATAGCCCGGTCCCAGCAGGTGCAGGGACACTTGGAGCAGAGAACTGACCTACAGGGCTCCTCTCAACGCTCTGTTTGGAAGCTCTATTCACCCCAGGCCTGCCAATCATCAAAAAACAAACAAACAAACCCGAGCGCTCCCTTTCATCCTCCTGCTAAGAGGGACAGGGGCCGGCCGGAGCCGGCTAGCTGCTTCCGAGGCGGAAGACGCCAGTCCAGCGGGGACCAGCCCCACGGCGTGCCCCCGCTGCCTGCAAACTGGCTGTTCGCGAACCGCCTCAAGGTGACCCCAGCGAGGCCACAAGCCCAGCCCCGCAGGGAGGAAGCGTTCTTCCTTAGTCTCCGGGTCCTATTCCCCAGGTCCTCACACACGACCACCTGCAGCTGCCTGCGCGGGACACGCAGAACGCAAGCGACTGGCCTCGGCCTCGCGGACCACGGCCTTGAAAGCACTTCCGTCGCGCTGACGTCACGGAGCCGCCGGAAGGCTCGGGGCGCGCGCGGGGCCGCTCCCAGCTCATGGCGGCTGCTTGCTGCGTTAGCCTTGGCGGTAAGGGCGCCTCCGCGGTGGCCCTGTGCCACCCTGACCGGCCTCGGGGTGCCCGTCCCCCCGACTCGGGCCGCCCCTCGTGTGTGTGTGTGGTGGCACGGCCCTCTCTTCATCGCCATTGAGGCCCGGTGCCCTTGGGGTCCCCCAGAGCCGACTACGCCCTCCCTCCCGAATCCCTTCCGAGGCCCCGCTACCGTTCCTCCCGAGCCTTGGCCTGCCATGTCCTCTCCCGGCCGGCTGAAGACCCAGCCCTGGTGCCCCCTCTGGCTGCCTGGCTTCGGGGACCCCGGAGAAGCCCGACCCCTCACCCCACAGAGGCCCGGAGGGGTCGTGCGTGTAGCCTTTTGCGTGGGTGACTCGGATACAGGCCAATGGGCAGCGAACAGTGGACCCAAGGCTACCGGCTTATTCCTAATTAATTGTTTCTCCCTTTGACGCGCAGTTGGGTGGGGGGGCAACCTTCAGTATTCCCCAACATCCCGCCAGCGCCTCCTCTGCTTGGGATGCAAGACTAAGTAAGGCTCGCTGTGTGTCTACACCCAGATCCGGCCTGAGAGATGGACGAGCCATGCCTACTGCAGCTCCGGGTGCCACCTGCTGTGCCAGGCGCCTGCCCACCGGTGTGAACCTCCGACAGACAGACGGATACCGGGGCTGGTGGCCGGAAATCACCCGACCAAGACACATAGTAGGTTAGGGAGCGAGTGAAATGCCTTCATTCTTCAGTTGCGCGCCCACCCCGTGGGAATTGCTATGATTTTGTCCCGGGGTGGTATGTGTAGGTTGGGGTTGGGGTTCTCACCTGAAATTCTGGCTGAAGCACCGGAAGGTCTGCTGAGGCCCAAAGCAGCGGTTTCCTGTTGGCCTTCCCTCGGCCTGTGCGTTGACATGGGGGCTGGTGCGTGTCTCCCACCTTCCCAGAGGGAGGCTTCACAGGACGTGGTGCCCAGTGTCGGGTCCGGACCTGCGTTGTCACTGGCAGGCAGGCAGGTCAGTCCTCCCCCGCCCCCAAGGCAGACGGACCCTAGTGTTCAATCAGCCATCTTGACCCGGAAGGACCGCGGGTAGGACTGCCAGGGAGGCCCCCCAAAAGGCAGTGGGGTTCCATGGCGTGTGTCATGAATAGTTCCCCCCAGCAGGCAGCCACTCTTGCTGTTCCCTTGCAGGCCCCAAGATGGACTTCCTCGTGCTCTTCTTGTCCTATCTGGCCACAGTGCTGGCCAGTGTCGTCATGCTCTGTGTCTGCTCGAAAACGGGTCGCTTGAGAGGCCTCGTCGGGGGCGCCACACGGGTAACTGCGCTCCCGGGGCGGGGTGGGCCCCGTGGTACCCTGTCCCGGTCACCTAACAGGCCGAACAACAGGAGGTGGTGTTCATTTGTGGCATGTGGGGCGGGGATCTGTCTTTGGGACTGCCTGCCATGAGGCGGTGTGAGGACAAAAGCTCTTCATTCCGCAGCGTGGCTCCTCTCCTGCTTCCAGGCCTGTCACTGGGCCTGGATGTAGACACTGCCTTTGTTTCTGCTCACCTCCCTGCCACCCCACCCCGGGGACCCCAGAAATGGACAGAAATGGAGGGGTTGGCGTCGCGGGAGGGCAGTAGAAGGCGTGCGCTTCTCGGCTGTCCCTGCCTTGGTCACCTCTCTGCCCTTACTGGGGACGTGGTGGTCAGTGCGGGCTGCCCTTGGGACAGCTGATTTGTTGGGAAATGGTGATGGGGATGGCGTGGGGGCAGGCTGGGCGGGGGGGGGGGGCAGGGGTGATGAGGTGAGTTGAGCCCCCCGCCTTTGTTTCAGAGGGTTTCCCGTTTTACCCCAGAATGCCTTCAGAGATCCGTGCGAAGCCTGTTTCACTACCTCTTCCACACGAGGTATTTATATTTTAGACTTTAAATAAGACAATTAAAAAAAAAAAAGAAATGGATGAAGTGTTTTTGGGGGGATGCACAGAAGTAAAAACCATATTGTGAGGCTGGGAGGCTGGGGGAGAGGCTTCCAAGGCTGAGGCTGCCAGCCCACCTTCACGTGGGAGCACGTGGCAGAGCCTGCAGCCTGCTCTTTTCTGTCTGTGCTAACTCTTTAAAAAGAAAATTATTTGAAAGGCAAACTTACAGAGAGAGAGAGAGAGAGGTGTTCCACTGGTTCATTCCTCAAGTGGCCGCAGTAGCTAGAGCTGGGCCAGTGTGAATCCAGGAGCCACAGCTGGGTCTCCCACATGAGTGAGGGGGCCCAAGGACTTGCACCACCCTCCACTGCTTTGCCAGGCACATCAACTGGAAGCTGGATTGGAGGTGGAGCATCCAGGACTCCAACCAGCACCCATAAGGGATGCCAGCATTGCAAGTACTGGTTTAACCCTCTGTGCCAAAGTGTTGGCCGCCTCAGGAGGCTTTCTGTGGTTTCCAGGGTGGTGAGAAGATTCTGGAAGGGTCCTGTGTCTTGGGTTCCAAGCCCCAGCTCACAGTGAGCTGTGGTCATCTCAGTGGTTTGTCCGTGACTACAGGTGATGATGGTCTTGGGTGAGGCTGCAGCTCCGGGAGTTTAAACATTCATTTGACAGCCGGAGCTCTCCTCTGCCAGGTCACACACACCTGCCTCCTTCCCCAAGTGCGTGTTACAGGTGGGAGTGGGCCTGGGAGAAGCCAGGGCCAGGTGTCTCCTGTGTGTGGCAGGGACCCAACAGCGTTAGCTGTCAACTGCTGCCTTCCAGGGAGCTGGCATCAGAAGCAGAGTGGGGACTTGAACTCGATACGGGATGCGGGCGTCCCAGCCAGGTGTTTGGCTCTGGGTTTTGGCGTGTCTTCTGTTACACGGAGTCGTTGGGCGTTTGCCTCCTTTACTTCTTCCCGATTTGGCAAGCCCGGAGGACGTGGTCCTGAGCGCTGTGCTGCTTCTCTCCAGAGCAGCTCTTGTGAACAGGCTGTGTGCCTGCTTCCTTCCAGAAACCACAGCTTCCTCCTGCTGCACCTGGCACTGCAGGGCATGGTTTACTCGGAGTACACCTGGGAAGTGGTTGCCTACTGTCGGGAGCTGGAGTTCTCCTTATTTTACCTTCTGCAGCCCTACCTGCTGCTGGCCGTCAGCCTGGTGTTCTTCGCCGTGACCTGTGTAAGCAATCCTGGTAAGTGGGTCAGCCCTGCTAGCTGCCCAGACACCTTGCTGATGGCAGTGCTGTGTACTAGAAGGGGGCCTCTCTCTCTCTGTTTTTTTTTTTTTTTTTGGACAAATACATTTTTATTAATTACATTGCATTATGTGACACAGTGTTATAGGCACTGGGATTCCCCTCCACCCCTCCTCAAACCCTCCACCCATGATGGGTTCCTCCACCTTGTTGCATTACCACAGTTCAAATTCAGTTGAGATTCTTTCATTGGAAGTATTTACCAAGCATAAAGTCCAGCATCTTATTGTCCTGATAAGTTCAACAATTTCTTGGTAGAGCTGGCAAAGTATCAACCCCATCAATTAAAAGCCCCAACATAACATCAACAACAGTTTACAACATTGTGGTATTAATTGACATCTCTCTCTCTCTTTTTAAGAAATTGGTACATAGGCTTCTATTACTTGTTAGGTGGAGATTTTATATGTAAATGTGTTAGCAATGATAGTCCTTTTTCCAGTATTTTATTGGGGAATTAAATAGTGTGATGTTTGGATTGAAAAGATTTATTTATTTATTATTTGAAAGAGCTACTGAGAGAGAAATTTGATGTGCTGGTTCACTCCCTGACTGGCCACAGTGGCCAGGATTGGGGCTGGAGCTGGGCCAGCAGGAGCCAGGATCCTGGAGCTTCGTCCCACGTGGGTGCAGGGACCCAAGGACTTGGGCCATCCTCTGCTGCTTTTCCCAGGTGCATGAGGGAACTGGCTGGGAAGTGGAGCAGCCGGGACGTGATCCGCTTGCTGTGTGGGATGCTGGCACTTTAGGAGGCGGCTTTACTTGCTTCTCCACAATGCCAGCCGTACTCATTCTTATGAAATGCATTCAGACTAAAGTCCATGTTCTCTCTCTTACTCGTAAACTTGATCTTTTCCAAAATAGAATCTATTTGTCACTACTAATGTCTTCTGCTCTCGAGTGTCATGTCTGCTGTTTTTATTGTTAGACTCTGTTTTCTTTTCTTTTTTTTTTTTTTCTCTCCTTTCTTTTTCTTTTTCCTTTTCTCTTCTGCCAGAGCTCCTGTCTGCTGACTCACTCCCCAGGAGCATGCACTGACGGGGCTAGGCTGCAGCCCAAACCCAGCCGTGCCTAGCTGGGATGCAGTCCAGGGCTGCTAGATGGCTCTCAGGGTTAAAGCTGCCCCAGCCTTCGCCTGCTGCTCCCAGGGTCTGTGTGAGTGAGAAGCTGAGATCTTGGCAGGCTGGCACCATCTCCACTGACACCCAGGGCCTTTGCCTGTACCCCGTGCCCTGCACTCTGGGCAGGCTGGCGCCATCTCCACTGCCACCCCAGGGCCTTTGCCTGCACCCCGTGCCCTGTGCTCTGGGCAGGCTGGCACCATCTCCACTGCCACCCCAGGGCTTGCCCCTGCGCCTCGTGCCCTGCACTGTCTTGGTGTGTGTGCTTTTAACCCTTGCTGTCTTGGAAGTACCCAGAACCCAGCAAGCGGTGAAGGAAGCAAATGGGGGTGTCTCCAGATCATGAGATACTGAGTTATTCTGCAGCCACAATAATGTTCTTTTTTATTCTATAATATGAGAGGAGCACATCCTAGTGTCAGGAAGAGGCAGATCTGTGTTATTCCCAGTGGTGTGCAGGGTGGAGGGCACTGGCAGGGGAGGAGAGTGGCTGCCACTTGGTTTTGGGTTTTGGGGAGGTGAGGAGCCCACTGTGGCACACCTTCAATGAGGAGGGCTGATCTGTGAGTTAGGTCCACTCAGAATGAGTGGCAGTGCCAACTATGGCAGTCTCAGCCGTGTCATAGCAGGTCGGGTCTGTGAACATCTGGTCCGCACGTGGCTTGGGACGTTGTTTGTTCTCACCTTTTGCAGGCATCGTAACAAAAGCAAATGAACTCTCACTGCTTCAAGTCTACGACTTTGATGAGGTGGTGTTCCCCAAGGACGCCAGGTGCTCAACTTGCGACGTGAGGAAGCCAGCCCGTTCGAAGCACTGCCGTGAGTGGGGGGGTGGGGCATGATGCTGCTGAACCCCCACAGCGTCCTGGGGGGCTGCTCTGCCCTCCCGGGTCAGCTCTTCTGTCGCTGTGGAGCCGGCCACCTCCGCCCTGGCCGAGAGCCATCCTGTGCCCCGGGGCGGGTGCTCAGCGAGGCTGCTCTGTGTGCAGGAGGCTGTGCTGACCTATCCGGGCCCCCTCGCCGCGCCTGAGGCCTGGCCTAGCCCAGTACTTCTCCGAAATGCAGGGTGAGCCACACCTGCTGTGGTCAGCGGCCTCGGAGCCCTGTGAGCAAAGTAGAAAGGATAATCAGTCAGGTTGTTTTAGATTTGTTTATTTTTATTGGAAAGACAGGTTTTTTTGTTTGTTTGTTTTTAACAGAGAAGGCTCATTTCCCAAATGGCCACGATGACTAGAGCTGAGCCAGTCCAAAGCCACGAGAAAGGAGCCTGTTCCAGGGCTACCCCAGGGTGTGCAGAGTCCCAAGGTCCTGAGCCATCAGCAGGAAACTGGATGGGAAGTTGAGCAGCTGGGACACAAACGCATCCATAGGGAATTTCAGCGCTTAGAAGTGGAGGACTAGCCTGTTGAACCACAGTGCCAGCACCCAGTTGACAAATGATTTTAAAAAGATTTCTTTAGTTGTTTATTTTTAAAAAGATTTATTTGTTTTTATTGGAAAGTCAGATATATGTAGAGAGGAGGAGAGACAGAGAGAAAGATCTTCTGTCTGGTGATTCACTTCTCAAGTTACTGCAATGGCTAGAGCTATGCTGATCTGAAGCTAGGAGCCAGGAGCTCTTCCAGGTCTCCCTGTGGGTGCAGGGTCGCAAGGCTTTGGGCCATCCTTGACTGCTTTCCCAGGCCACAAGCAGGGAGCTGGATGGGAAGCAGAACTGCCAGGATTAGAACCGGCACCCATATGGGATCCCAGCATGTTCAAGGGAGGACTTTAGCTGCTAGGCCACTGTGCCGGGCCCAAGATTTGTTTATTTTATATATTTGGAAGGCAGTGTGGCACCGAGAAAGAGAAAGATAGAAATCTGTGAGCCAGTTCCCTTGCCAACTGGCCTTTCTGCCAGGCCAAAGCCCGGAGCCAGGGGCTTCATCTTGGTCTGCCAGGTGTGTGGCACTGACTTCCAGGTGCAGTGCCAGGAAGCTTGGCTGATAAGCTGAGCAGCTGGAAGAGTCACTCCGAGATCCGGCATCCTGAGCAGTGGCTTGGCGCTCTGCACCCCAACTGCAGCCCCCCGTAATGAGCACCCCGACCGCCGCATCGGTGCAAAAGGCCGTGCCCGAGACGTCTCTGTACACTTGCCCAGACCAGCTCTGGGAAATGTCACCAGTGTGGAACCCTTCGTTCCCATTGGGAATGCCTGACTGCTAGTGGAGGGTATGGAATTTGTGGGTGGCAGGGAAGGTGGGACCACATGGCCGACCTGTGCTCAGACATCGCTCCAAGTGTCCCCACAGCCCAGGGAGCACCGAGAATGCCAGTCCGTGCTGGCCTCAGTGCCCCTCGGCATCCGATGGCTCCAGCTGCCGTTGAGGCGAACCAGACAGCTGTGTGGCAGCTCGGTGAGTGCTCCCGTGCCTGTGTCACCGCACTGCAGCCCACACTGAGCCAGAACAACTCTACACAGGGCCAGTGCTGTGACACTGCAGGTTAAACCATCGCTTGCCAGTTCAAGTCCCAGCTGCTCCCCTTCCAGTCCAGCTCCCTGTTTAACCTTCCCTATCCAGTGCAGCTCGTGTGCCTAGAAAAAGCAGCAGAGCGTGATCCAAGTTCCTCAGTCCCTGCAGCCACATGAGCTGGAAGAAGCTTCTGGCTCCTGGCTTCAGCTCTGATGGTTGCAGAGCAGTGAACCAACAAACAGAAGATTGCTTTTTTGCTCTTGTAATTCTGTTTTCAAAGAAATAAATGGATCTTGGAATAAAATGTAGACTTAAAAACCAAAACCCAGGGGTGCATTCATCATTGTTCACTGGGTTCCTCCCCGACTTGACTTGAGGCCGCACTTGGCAATGCTGCGCGCCCGTGTGGGGGGCCTACCCATCTCTCCTCCGCCCGTGCCCTCTCTTCCCCTGCAGGCGTGTGTAACTGGTGTGTGCACCGCTTCGACCACCACTGTGTGTGGGTGAACAACTGCATCGGGGCCTGGAACATCCGCTACTTCCTCATCTACCTCTCGGCGCTGACGGCCTCGGCCGCCACCATGGCCGCCGTGTGCAGCGCCTTTCTCATCCACCTGGTGGCGGCCTCAGACCTCTACCAGGAGCCCTACGTGGACGACCTGGGCCACTGGCGGACCGTGGACGTGGTCTTTCTTACTCAGGTGACAGTGCCATGCTGTGGTGTCGGCCACGTCTCAGCAGTGGGAAAAGGAGGTTGATTTGCTCAGTAGAAACCCGAAGCTGTTCTAGGTAGAAAACTCTTGTCATCCCATGTCGTTCAGTTCGCCTGCAGCACTTTCAGCTTGTCCACAGAGTTGGGCAACTATCCCCACCACCTATTACCTAATTCAAGAATATTCTGTTGCTCCGCCTCCTCTCTTCCCCTAGGTCCTGGCAACCACTTAACTCTCCTTTATCGAGAGATTTTATTTATGTGAAAGATACACACACACAGACACACACACACGGAGGGGGAGGTTCCCTCAGTAGCCCAGCCTGGAGCCTAAAGCTCACTCTGGATCTGCTGGGTGGCAGGGACCCGGGTACGTAGCCTCCCTGGACATGCAGGAGCAGGAAGGCGGAGTGGGGCTCCGACCTGGGGACTCTGGCATGCAATGTGGGTGTTCGAATCACAGCTTGGTTTCCATACCCGGTACTGGTACTCGCCTCCTTCTGACCTGGTGAATTTGCTTTTTGTAGATACTTTGTATGAACAGAATTATACAGAGCAGTGCCCTTTGGCTGGGATGCTTGAGGGCTTGTCAGCATTGCTGTGGATTAGAACTGCATGCTTAAAAAAGAGCTGTGGCTTTCCCAGATCACCAGCAGGGGGCTGGATGGGAAGTGGGGCCACTGGGACCCATATGGGATCTGGGCAGGTATGAGGTGAAGATCCAGCCACTAGGCTGTCCTGCTGGGCCATGGATTTTTATTTTGATGCATGAACTAAGATCAGTGTTTGCTTGGCAGATAGCTTCCTGGCACAGCACCACCCCCTGAATAACCTTGCCTTCCTGCAGGGCCTAGTGCTGTTGCTGGACTGGGGCCAGCACTGTGGGGTAGCGTGTTAATCCTCTGCCTGGGACGCTGTCAGCCCATATCAGCTCCAGTTTGAGTCCCGGCTGCTCCACTTCCATTTCAGCTTCCTGCTAATGCACCTGGGAAGGTACAGAGCAGAGCGTGTGCCCGAGCCCGGGTCCCTGCACCCCCGCGGGAGAACCAGATGGAGCCCCTGGCTTTGGCCCGGGTCCAGCCTTTGTCTCATTTTCTCTAATTCTGCCTTTCAAATAAAAATAAATCAGTCTTTAAAAATACGTATTTGAAAGGCTTCTAGTTAACTCTGCAAATGGCCACAATGGCTGGGGCTGGTCCCGGTGGAAGCCAGGAGCCTGGAGCTACTTCTGGGGCTCCCAGGTGGGTGCAGGGGCCCAGGCCCATTAGCAGGGAGCTGCATTGGAAGAGGAGCTGGCATACTGAGAGGGAACCCAGGTGTTGCAGGCAGTGGCCCAGTTTGCCGTACCTAGGCCGCTCCGGGACTGCTGTCCGAGGGTCCGGGCGAGAGGCAGGTGGGCCAGCTGGAGACACGGCCTGGGTGTGAGTGGGCAGGAGCAGGGCTGGGCCTGACGCGCATCCTCCTCTCTGCCCCTAGTACCTGTTCCTGACGTTTCCCAGGGTCGTGCTCCTGCTGGGCTTCCTCACCGTGCTGAGCCTCCTCCTGGTCGGCTACCTGTGCTTCTCCGTGTACCTGGCCCTCACCAACCAGACCGCGCTGGAGTGGTACCGCCAGGGCTCTGCCCCGGACCCGCGCCGTCCCCTGGTGGCCGGGCGAGCGCGCAGCGTCCACTCCCGCGGGCTGAGGGCCAACCTGCGCGAGCTCTTCCTCCCTGTGGTCCCTTGCTGCGAGGGGAAGAAGGAATAAGGACGGACAGAGCGCGGCTGCCCTTCTGTGATTGTGCACAGAGCGCATAAATGTCTCTCTACTTGCGGTTACTGGTTTTCCGAGCCTGGCGTGTGGTTCCTGCTGTGTGTGTAAGTGGCCTGTCCGCGCATAAGGCGCTGTGAGGGGTCGCGCTCGCTGGGCCCTGTTGGAGCTCGGACCTCTGAAGCCTTGGTTTCGGGGAATCCAGAAGGGACACAGGCCGTGGGCTGCCGGACGTGTGGGGCCTTACGGCCGTGCGCCCTGATGGACAGGGGGCCCTGCAGGACGCAGTGCCGCTCGCCAGGGCGTCTTCATGTCAGCCACACCAGGGCGCCGCGGCCTGCCCTCTTCCCGGCCTGCTCCTGGCCTGTCCCTCGCAAGTCTTCCCTGCCCAAGCCGCCTGTCGGCTCCGTGTAGGCGGGAAGCGTGCTGGACAAGGACAAGGGTTCCTCGCAGGCTGTTTGATGGCTGCAACAGCAGCAGCCGGGCCGGGCCAGGCCAGCGCCTAGAGCCCGCAGAGGGGAGTGCCAGCCAGGGCACCCGCGCGGGGGGCCAGGTGCTGTGCCAAGTGGCATGTTAAGGTTGTGCCAAACCCCGGTGCTGAGGGGTGTTCCGGGTGGGCGAAGCTGCAGGTAAGGTGGGCCTTTGCAGCCTGGGGGGAGCCAGTGTCCTGAGATGCCAGGTCTCCAGAGAGGACGCAGGGGCGGCAGGGAATCCTAAACTGCGGGCTTCCAGGCTTTAAGGAGGAGTGGGGCCTGGGGGCGGGGCCCGCGGTGGGAGGGCGGGGCGAGCGGGGGCGGGGCCTACGATGGGCGGGGCGGGCGGAGACGGGGCCTGCGGTGGGCGGTGCTCGCGGTGAGTGGGGCAGGGCGGGCGGAGGCGGGGCCTACGATGGACGGGGCGGGCAGAGGTCTGGCCTGCGGTGGGCGGGGCCCGTGGTGAGTGGGGCAGGGCGGGCGGAGGCGGGGCCTACGATGGCCGGGGGCGGGCAGAGGTCTGGCCTGCGGTGGGCGGGGCCCGTGGTGAATGGGCAGGGCGGGCGGAGGCGGGGCCTGCGATGGGTGGGGCAGGGCCGGTGGGCGGGGCTGGCCCGCGCCTGCCGCCAGGGGGCGCCCGGCCCCGAGCACGCGCCGAGCCCCGCGTCCCGCGCTTGGGCCCTGCGGGCCGCCGTCGCCGCCCCGGCCTTCCGCCGCTGTTCGGCTGCGCGACTCCCGCGACTCGGGCGGTGCCGGCTCGCACCCGCTCCCCTCCGGCCCCGGCCCTCCGTCCGTGCCCGGTGCGCCCGCTGGCCGGCGGCTAGGCCATGGCGCCCTGAGCGGCCCGGGAGCCGGCAGCGGCGGGCGCAGGCCGGGGTCGGGCGCAGGCCCGGGCGCGCCTCTTTGTCTCGGCGGGCGGCGGCGCGTCCCGGCTGCCCGCGGAAGTGGGCGCACCATGAGCGACATCCGGCACTCGCTGCTGCGGCGCGACGCGCTGAGCGCCGCCAAGGAGGTGCTGTACCACCTGGACATCTACTTCAGCAGCCAGCTGCAGAACGCGCCGCTGCCCATCGTGGACAAGGGCCCCGTGGAGCTGCTCGAGGAGTTCGTGTTCCAGGTGCCCAAGGAGCGCGGCGCGCAGCCCAAGGTGCGGCAGGGACCCCAGCACCCGCGCGCCCCGGGCAGGCAGCTGCCGGCTCCCACGGGCTGCCCGGCCCAGGCCTGGCGGGTAGCGGACAGGCCGTGGACAGTTCTCCAAGACCGGCACTGGCGTGGGGCTGTCCCCGCCCTGGACAGCCGGGAAAATGTTGTGTCCGATCGGCCGCTGTCGGGATGAAATGCTCGTTTTATTTGTTTATTTTTTTTTATTTCTTTTCGTTTGTTGTTTTTTTGCAGAGGCTGAATTCGCTGCAGGAGTTACAGCTCCTTGAAATCATGTGCAATTATTTCCAGGAGCAAACCAAGGACTCGGTGCGGCAGATCCTCTTCTCCTCCTTGTTCAGTCCTCAGGGGAACAAAGCCGACGACGGCCGCATGAGCCTGCTGGGGAAGCTGGTCTCCATGGCCGTGGCCGTGTGTCGGATCCCCGTGCTGGAGTGCGCTGCCTCCTGGCTCCAGGTGCGCAGGGCTGGCGGGAGTGGGCTGAGGTCTCACCCACCTGTCTTCCCGAGGGCTCTTCTGAGGGCCCTCCTACCTGTCTGGAGATTCCACTGGGGGCCACCCACCTGTCTGCCTGGGGTTTCCACTGGGGCCCACCCACCTGTCTGCCTGGGGGTTCCACTGGGGCCACCCACCTGTCTACCTGGGGTTTCCACTGGGGCCCACCCACTTGTCTACCTGGGGTTTCCACTGGGGCCCACCCACCTGTCTGCCTGGGGTTTCCACTGGGGCCCACCCACCTGTCTGCCTGGGGTTTCCACTGGGGCCACCCACCTGTCTACCTGGGGTTTCCACTGGGGCCCACCCACCTGTCTGCCTGGGGGTTCCACTGGGGCCCACCCACCTGTCTACCTGGGGTTTCCACTGGGGCCCACCCACCTGTCTACCTGGGGTTTCCACTGGGGCCCACCCAACTGTCTATCTGGGGGTTCCACTGGGGCCCACCCACCTGTCTACCTGGGGTTTCCACAGAGGGCCCACCCACCTGTCTATCTGGGGTTTCCACTGGGGCCACCCACCTGTGTGCCTGGGGGTTCCACTGGGGCCCACCCACCTGTCTACCTGGGGTTTCCACTGGGGCCCACCCACTTGTCTACCTGGGGTTTCCACAGAGGGCCCACCCACCTGTCTATCTGGGGGTTCCACTGGGGCCCACCCACCTGTCTGCCTGGGGGTTCCACTGGGGCCCACCCACCTGTCTACCTGGGGGTTCCACTGGGGCCCACCCACCTGTCTACCTGGGGGTTCCACTGGGGCCACCCACCTGTCTACCTGGGGGTTCCACTGGGGCCCACCCACCTGTCTATCTGGGGGTTCCACAGAGGGCCCACCCACCTGTCTATCTGGGGTTTCCACCGGGGCCCACCTACCTGTCTACCTGGGGGTTCCACTGGGGCCCACCTACCTGTCTACCTGGGGGTTCCACTGGGGCCCACCCACCTGTCTACCTGGGGGTTCCGCAGAGGGCCCACCCACCTGCCTTGCCTGGTCACTGCAGCGTGTGGCTGTGTAGACAGACCCCAGTCCCCAGTTCCTACACGTGAGTGGCGTACACAGTGCTTAGTGTTGATGACATTTTTCTTTCGGGCTTTTAACAACTTGATGTATGTGAAATGCAGAACTGACAGGAGAAGGAGAGACAGATCTTCCATCCTCTGCTCCACTCCCCAGATGACCCAGTCAGCCAGGAGCCAGGAGCGCCATCCTGGTCTCCCCCAGAGTTGGCAGGGGCCCAGGTGCTTGCTGACTCATGCTGCCCTCCCTGGAGCATCAGCAGGAAGCCGGATCGGAAGCAGGGTAGCTGGGATTGAAGCCCGCGCTCCACTTCGGGATGCTGGCCTCACAGCTGGTGGGTTTACCTGCTGTGCCACTGTGCTGGCCCCCTGAATTTTTAAGATTTAATTAGTTTTATTGCAAAGTCAGATCTGTAGAGGAGGAGAGACAGAGAGGAAGATCTTCCCTTCTATGATTCACTCCCTAAGTGACCGCAATGGCTGGTGCTGTGCCAGTCCGAAGTCAGGAGCCAGGAACTTCCTCCAGGTCTCCCATGCGGGTGCAGGGTCCCAAGGCTTTGGGCCGTCCTCTACTGCTTTCCCAGACCACAAGCAGGGAGCAGGGTGGGAAACAGGGCTGATAGGATTAGAACTGGCGCCCATATGGGATCCCAGTGCATTCAAGGCGAGGACTTTAACCACCAGGCCACTGTGCTGACCCCCTGAATTTTTTTTTAAGAAGCGAAAAGGTCTTCAGATCAAGTTAATTTTTCTATCTTAGGTAAACACAGTAAGGTGGGGTATTGAAAACACTTGCACGCAGTCTTGGAGTTAGGACTGTTTATAAAGTTTATTGATCTGAACGGCATAACCACAGGGGTGAGGCATGGAGCGGAGGGAGGGCATGCATCTTTTGTCTCCTCTTACTCCCCAGGTGTCTGCCCCAGCCAGGGCTGGCCCAGGCTGAAGCCAGGAGCCAGCAGCGCCAGCCTCCACCTGCCACCTCCCCAGGTGTGCATTAGCAAGAAAGCTGTGGTAGAAGCCGAGGTGGGACGCACGCCAAGGGATGGGGCATGCCAAGCTGCAGCGTGGCCTGAAGTGCCACAGCAGCCCCGAGGGATAGGCCTGCTTGCCGTCAGATGAGCATTTTCTGTCCAGTTGGATCAGCCCACTCTCGAGTCGAGTCAAGTTAGGCCTGCGTCACACAGTTGCCAGCTCCTAAGAGACACCGCGAAGGAAAACAGGTTTAGTGTAGGTGATATTTGAGTAAATTGGCTTTGTCATGCTTTCTGTGCTACCCAAAGTCTCTGAAAAGCCACTCATGCCCCTGTGCGATTCTTCAACAAAATCTTCAATTAATTTGATCACCACCCAGGCCAAAGGGATTTTCTGTGGTTTCATAATGTTGCTTCATCCCAGAGACCCACAATCTCTTATGATTTAAATTTAGCTTCATTTATCTGAGAGACACACAGAGACGGATCATCTGCGGGGTCACTTGCTGAGTGCCTGCGATGGCTGGGGAGTGGCCGAGCTGAACCTAGAGTTGAGAACTTTATCTGGACACCCCACGGGTGGCAGGGCCCTACCTGCCTCCGCCATCGCCTGTCGCCTCCCAAGGTGCCCACGAGCAGGAAGCCAGAATAGGGGATAGAGCCCAGTTTAAGACCTCGGCACTCTTAGATGTATTTTACTTGTTTGAAAGAGTTACAAAGAGGATGGAGAGAAAGAGAGATCTGCTGGTTCACCCCCTCGCCCCCCAATAACCACAATGGCCAGAGCTGGGTCACACCAAAGCCAGGAAGCAGGAATGCTTACCACGTCCATACATGGGTGCAGTGACCCAAATATGTGGGCCATCTTCTGCTTTCCCAGCTGCAATAGCAGGGAGCCAGATTGAAAGTGAAACAGCCGGGACTCGAACCAGTGCTCATATGGGATGCTAGTGCCACAGGCGGCATCTTTACTTGCCACAGCACTAGGCTCAGACCCACTTTTAAAGGATTCAGGAGTCCCGTCTCATCTGATGTGTTGCCATGCTGCCAAGCACCCATGCTTCAAAGTCTTTTACTCCTATTTAGTTAAATGTTTTCCATGTAATCTTGTTTTAAAAATATATCTAGCAGGGCCCAGTGTGATAGCCTGGTGGCTACAGTCCTCGCCTTGTACACACCAGGATCCCATATGACTGCCAGTTCTAATCCTTGCAGCCTGCTTCCCATCCAGCTCCCTGCGTGTGGCCTGGGAGAACAGTCAAGGATGGCTCCAAGCCTTGGGACCCTGCACCCACGTGGGAGACCTGGAAGAGGCTCTGGACTCCTGGCTTTGGATTGGTTAAGCTGCAGCCATTGCGACCGCTTGTAGAGTGAATCGGTGGACGGAAGATCTTCCTTTCTCTCTCCTCTCCTCACAATGTATCTGACTCGAATGAATCAAAGATTTATTTATTTATTTTTATTGCAAAGTCATATATAGAGAGGAGGAGAGACAGAGAGGAAGATCTTCCGTCCTATGATTCATTCCCCAAGTGAGCACAGTGGCCGGTGCTGAGCCGAGCAGGAGCCAGGAACTTCTTTCTGAGTCTCCCACATGGGTGTAGGAACCCAAGGCTTTGGGCCGTCCTTGACTGCTTTCCCAGGCCACAAGCAGAGAGCTGGATGGGAAGTGGAGCTGCCGGGATTAGAACCGGTGCCCATATGGGATCCCGGTGCTTTCAAGCCGAGGACTTTAGCCACTAGGCCATGCCGCTGGGCCCAGGAAAATATAAAATCTTTATATATCTAGTAGAGTGTGTGACTGTTGGCAGTGCCCAGGAGAAGGGTCCACGGGATGGGTATCATCATGCCAGCTGGTCTGTTCCTGGGGCTGTGTTCGCCCTTGGGGTGGCCTTTCTGCCCTGACACCCTGCAACACTGGGGTTCATGTCTCCCTACCCTTCCTCGGGTGTTTCCTGGTGCTGGCATGGAGGTTGGCCACGGGAGAGGGCCTGGGTGGTTTGGGTTGCAGTTTGCCATCCTGGGGGCAGGTGGCAGCCTGCCCAAGTAACCTGGCCCGCCATTGCCTCACCATGGCACCCCAAACTGCCTCCTCACCGTGGCACCCCGCAGGCTGCGGTACGCTAAGCCACTGCCTCGCCATGGCACCCTGCAGGCTCTGGCACCCCAAGCTGCTGTTGGCTGGCTGGAGCTGTGACTGACAATTGAGTGGGAAGGAAAAGGCAGGGGCTCCTGGGGCCTTTGGATCAGACAGGGCCGTAGGACCCAGCCAAGAATGGGGTTGTGAGAGGGATCACGGAATAGTGCCCTAAACATTTGACTCCTGGGCTAGGTCACACACACTTGGCTACATTTTTTTTTTTCCAAAATGGTGGCAGTTAGTAATTTTTATTTTTTAGTCTGTGGAGTCCTAACCTGAAATCCTATTGGGTTTCCAAAGTCCTTATTTTCTCAGAGCTAACCTGTTCTGTGTGAACGGTAAAGCAAGGGCTCGGCAGACGTCTTGGTTATCTGTTTTTTGGGCTGGCTGATTTGTTTTAAAGGGAAGCGTTAGAGAGCATAAGGAGAGAGGTGTCTTTCCTCCCTCGGTGTGTTCAAGTGATGGCTGCGGTGGACAGGCTGGTCTGGGCCGGGCCAAAGGCAGGACCTTCTTCGAGGTCTCTCCCATGGGTGGCAGGGCCCCAAGTCCTTGGCCGTCTTGCAGTGCTTTCCCCAGGTGTGTTAGCAGGGAACCAGGTTGGACGCAGAGCAGCCAGGCTGCCGGTTGCCCCCTGTCTGAGCAGACCAGCTGCTGCGCACGTCTCACGCTGGTTGAGGCAGTGACTTGGCGCTGTGGTGAGAGCAGCCTAGGTTGGGGCACATGCAGGAGGCTGACGGTGTCGCAGTGAAACTGCCTTTACCGGGAAGGGTGGCGGGGCGGCCCCTGCCCGCCTGGGGAGCCCTGTGGCAGCCTGCGCCCCCATGTCTCCGCAGCGGACGCCCGTGGTGTACTGTGTGCGGCTGGCCAAGGCCCTGGTGGACGACTACTGCTGCCTGGTGCCGGGCTCCGTGCAGACGCTGAGGCAGATATTCAGCGCCAGCCCCCGCTTCTGCTGCCAGTTCATAACCTCCGTCACCGCGCTCTATGACCTGTCCTCAGGTAACGGCTGCCGAGGGAGGCTCAGCTGGCTGGAGAGGGAGAGAAAGACCCGTCTGGTGGCTCACTCCCCACGTGGCCGCAGTGACGGGGTTGGGGTGGGGTGGGGGGAGCCAGGAGTTCCCCCGGGTCTCCCATGTGGCTGCAGTGATGGGGGGGGTGTCTCCCACGTGGCTGCAGTGATGGGGGCGGTCTCCCACGTGGCTGCAGTGACGGGGGTCTCCCACGTGGCTGCAGTGATGGGGGCGGTCTCCCACGTGGCTGCAGTGACGGAGGGGCGGTCTCCCACGTGGCTGCAGTGACGGGGGCAGGGGGAAGCCAGGAGTTCCCCTGGGTCTCCCACGTGGATGCCGGCACACAAGCATTTGGACTGTCTTCTGCTCTCCCGGGATGTTGGCCTCAGGCAGTGGGGTAATGCACTGTGCCACCATGCTGGCTCCTGGGTAAACTTTAATATGTCGCCGTCAGAGAAGCTCCAGTTAATTGTCACTCTTAGGGGGAGGGTGACTGACAGATCTCCCCTGCGTTGGTCACTTCCAGGTGCCCACTGTGTTGGCTAGTCTAGAGTTCAGAATGGGAAGCTCAGACGAGTCTCCTGCAAGGGTGGCGGGGTTCAGCCACCTGACTGGTCACTGCCTCTCCTCTGGCCCCAGCGCGTGCCCTGGCCGTGGGCTTTTGTTGCCTGCTGTACACTCAGGTGAAATGCCCAGTGAATACACTGGCCTTTTTGTCACCAAAATGTGTGTGTCAGTCCCAGGCTGAGAACTAAACTCTGGTTCACGTGGAGCCTGCAGCTTGCTGAGGGGCCATTCTCACAGTGTCCTCACCCTCCTAGAGCAGGTGGCCATGGGGACACAGGCCGGGTCTGCCATCTGCTGCGGCCTCTCCCCAGAGCCCCTGACTTGCCTTTTCATTCAAGTGAGTTGTGGGCACAGTACCACGTCCACACGGCTCAGCCCTGCGTTGTGCTTTGCCCAGGCCTCCCCCAGATGTGTCAGCATCTGTTCTCTGCTCCTTGCTAGGAGTGTTGGCAGGGCGCTGGCTCAGAAGTGCAGCAATGGGGTCTTAACCTGGCACTCTGACCCGCACTCCGACCCACAGCTTAACCAGCTGCTCCACAGCACCGTCCCCACCTCTGGTCTTGCTAGGTCTAGACCAGCTCCCGGCGTATCTGGAAGGGCAACCCTCAGGCTGCATCTGCCCCCATGGTTTCCTTAGAACAGGCACACAGGTGGCAGCGTGGCTGTTAGAGACATTGGTGAGTCATCCCCAGCAGGACGAAGGTGTGGTAGAAGTGGTATTCATCCCACGTCCCTGTTTAGGCTCAGAGCCCTCTGGTCAGACTCATGGTCGCACGAAGCAGGCTGTGCTAGCTGAAGCCGGCCTGGGGCGAGGGGCTGGGACCCCCACCTGCTGCAGGCACGGGCTCCCTTGCTGCCCCAGAAGTGACAGGAAACTACGATGGACAAGCGTGCCGTCCAGTGCACCGTGTGCTGCTGTGTGTGTCCATGTGTGGTCTCCATGGCCCCTGTGGCTCCCAGCTGGACCTGTGGGCAGCATTTGCCATGTGGGCTGCACAGCAGCGCACTGCCCCCTGGTCTCCCTGCCCGAGGGCCAACACATGGTCATTCTCACCCGGGGCTCACCCAGGACAGCCTTCCATGATGCTTTCCACTCAGTTCGGCCTGTGTTGATCTCCACCAGCCCCACATGATGCTGTGGCCTTTTCCCCTGCAGGTGGACTTAGCTCTCTGGAGAAAGAGAGACCCACCGTGCATGTGCATGTTCTCTGAGCGGAGTTTGCCACAGGAGACAGGGCCTGAAACGCGTGAGCCTGTGGAGCACAGAGGGCCGTGGCATGGCGAGTGGCGCTGAGGCCAGTCGGCCTGGTGTATGGTGGCCCCGAGTCCTGTCAGGTTGCCATCACATGCCTGGGGTCTCAGGCCGCAGAACCTCAGGAAGGGAGTCGCTGGCGCAGCCTCACAGGTCCCTGAGGGAGGGGGCTCAGGCTGCCCATAGTGCACACGCAGGCGGGCAGGTACACGCTGCCATCCGCCCTTGGACACACTCAGCATGCGCCTGGCAGCTCCTGAGGGTGCATTGCGAGTCTCATGGTGACCAGAAATGGCTCAAGGAGCCACAGGCTGTGCCACATGATGGTGGTCACTGAGCACAGCCCCTGTGAGCACACAGCAGTGGGCGGGGGCAGGGCTGGCGCCATGCGCAGCGATGACCTCGGCAAGAAAGAACAGTTCCCGGACAGGTCTGATGGAAGCCGCCTGCTGACCCAGCCTGCCAGCCTGCAAGGGGCTCCATCTTTTTTTTTTTTTTTTTTTTTTTTAAGATTTATTTATTTTTATTGCAAAGTCAGATATGCAGAGAGGAGGAGAGACAGAGGAAGATCTCCCATCTGATGGTTCACTGCCCAAGCAGCCGCAGTGGCTGGGACTGAGCCAGTCTGAAGCCAGGAGCCTCTTCCAGGTCTCCCATGTGGGTGCAGGAACCCAAGGCTTTGGGCCGTTCTTGACTGCCTTCCCAGGCCACAAGCAGGGAGCTGGATGGGAAGTAGAGTTGCTGGGATTAGAACCAGTGCCCATATGGAATCCTGGTGCGTTTAAGGCGAGGACTTTAACTGCCATGCTATCATGCCGGGCCCATGGGGGCTCCCTCATTCTTAGGGTTGCCCTGGGCAGGGGCACCCAGTCCAGAGAGCAGGCTGGGGACACCCGCTTGAGCCTGTGGCCAGCCTCAGGACCTGGCCTGATGATGCCTGCAGGGGCCCTGCCACCTCGTGGTGATGGGCCAGGTTGTACAGTCGGTGTTGCCAGGTGCTTGCTTTTCTTTTCTTGTTTTTTAAGATTTGTTTGTTTTTTAGTTCGTTTTTTTGTTTGTTTGTTTTTTAAGGATTTACTTACTTTGATTGGAAAGGCATATTGACAGAAAGATCTTCTATCTGCTGGTTCACTCTGCAAGTGGCCACAACTGCCGGAGCTCAGTTGATCCAAAACCAGGAGCCAGGAGCTTCTTGCAGGTCTCCTATGTGCAGGGACCGTGTGCAGGGTCCCAAGGCTTTGAGCCATGCTCGTCTGTTTTCCCAGGCAACAAGCTGGTTTTTTCCCCAAATGGCCTTGATGGCCAGAACTTGGCTAGTCCTAAGCCACGAGCCAGGAGCTTCTTCCAGGTCTCCCACATGGGTGCAGGGTCCCAAGGACTTGAGCGATTCTCTGCTGCTTTCCCAGGCCATAAGCAGGGAACTGGATGAGAAGTGGAGTGACTGGGGCTTGAACTGGCACCCATATGGAATGTCACTCCGCCTCCCCCAAGCGGAGGCTTAGCCCACTGTGCCACAGGTCCAACCCTTACTGTGTGCTTTTGATGAGTCCCAGGAGGCCACTCGGTGTCATTCCCAGCTTTCTTGTACTTTGTTTGGGAGTTAGAGATGGGCGTGTTTGGGGAGGAAGTGAGTTGGTCTGTGTTCAGAGCAGACATCCACATTTGCTCAGCATCACAGTGACCAGGCCACAGACTGGCAGCTCAGAGAGGTCAGGCCCGTGTCGGGGGAGCCCCTCTCATGGCACCCCTTCTCTGCAGATGACCTCACCCCACCTTTGGACTTGCTGGAGACGATTGTCAGCTGGATCTTCGAGGACCCGCGCTTGATTCTCATCACCTTCCTGAATACCCCGATCGCAGCCAACCTGCCCATAGGCTTCCTGGAGCTCACCCCGCTCATCGGCCTGATCCGCTGGTGTGTGAAGGCCCCGCTGGCCTACAAGAGGAAGAAGCAGCCCGCCCTGGCCAACGGCCACGTGGGCACCAGCAAGGCCACCAAGGACTCGGGCACAGGCGCCGAGAAGGACTCGCATCTGCTGTACTCGAAGCTGCACCTCAGCGTCCTGCAGGTCCTCGTGGCGCTGCAGCTGCACCTGACCGAGAAGAACCTCTACGGCCGCCTGGGGCTCATCCTGTTTGACCACATGGTCCCGCTGGTGGAGGACATCAACAGGCTGGCCGACGAACTGAACCCCCTCCACGCTGCCCAGGAGATCGAGCTCTCGCTGGACCGACTGGCCCAGGCCCTGCAGGTGGCCATGGCCTCGGGGGCTCTGCTCTGCACCAGAGGTGAGTGGCTGCCCGGTCCAGGCCATGCCCCCCCGCCCCTCTATGCTCTCCCGTCAGGCACACGTCACGGCTGCTCTCACCGGCTTTTGCTGCCTGGGCGCGGGGGTGAGGCACGAGTTGGCTTCGTCTCGTCTCTCTGAGTCCTGTTCTGAGGTCTTTACACTGAGGTGTCAGTGCATATTGGTGTGACTTCAAACTTTTAAGAGATTTATTTTCATTTGAAAGGCAGATTCACAGAGGAAACGAGACCGAGAGAAAAATCATCCACTTGCTGGCTCATTCCCAAAATGGCTGCAACAGCCAGAGCTGAGCCAGTCTGCAGCCAGGAGTCAGGAGCCTCTTCCAGATCTCCTGTGAGAGTGCACAGGCTGCCTTCCCAGGCCTTAAGCAGGGAACAGGCAGGGTACAAGCAAGTACCCACATGGGATTCCCACACTAGCAGGTAGAGGTTTGGCCAGCTGAGCCGTCATGCTGACCCCTAAGTGTTTTTAAGTTTTTCAGTTGTTATGTAATTGTTTGAGCAACAGAATTCCTTTCTGCTGGTTAACTCCCCAAATACCTGCAATGCATGGCCCTTGGCTGGGCTGTACCCAGGGGCCAGGAGCTCAGGGCAGGCCTCTGAAGTGGCCTGCAGGAACCCTGTCCGTCACTTAATTCCCACCTGCCAGGATCCACACTAGAGGTGGCAAGGACCCAGGGACCTCAGCCATCCCCTGCTGCCTCCCAGGGCGGGGCATGGATTGAAGAGGAGCAGGGACTTGAACCCAGAGCCTCTGATACGGGATGGGCATCCCAGGAGTTACCATAAAGACTGCACCAACACCTCTCCTCTCTTAAGTGGGTTTTGTTTTGTTTTGTTTTTCCCTTTTTAATGATGTATTTATTTATTTGAAAGGCAGAGTGACAGAGAGATCTTCTGTGGGCTGGTTTACTCCCCAAATTCTTTTTTCTTTCTTTTTTTTTTTTAAGATTTATTTATTATTTATTGGAAAGTCAGATATAGAGAGAGGAGGAGAGACAGAGAGGAAGATCTTCCTTCTGATGATTCACTCCCCAAGTGAGCGCAACAGCCGGTGCTATGCCGATCCGAAGCCAGGATCCAGGAACTTCTGGGTCTCCCACACGGGTGCAGGGTCCCAAGGCCTTGGACCGTCCTCGACTGCTTTCCCAGGCCACCAGCAGGGAGCTGGATGGGAAGTGGAGCAGCCGGGATTAGAACTGGTGCCCATATGGGATCCCGGCGTGTTCAAGGCGAGGACTTTAGCCACTAGGCCACACCGCTGGGCCCCCTCCTCCCCAAATTCTCGCAGCAGGTGGGGTTAGGCCAGGCTGAAGCTGGGGGGTCTCACTCCATCCAGGTCTCCCATGTGGGTGTTAAGGAAGTGCCTGGACCACCATCTGCTCATATGTGTTAGCAGGAAGCTGGATTGGAAGCAGAGGTGTGGGTGCCCCAAGCAGTGGCTCAGTCCCCATGTTGACACACGTGTGAGTCCATGCAGCTGCTTCTCACTCAGGGCCCAAGTTCCCATTGTCCAAGTGTTGCCTGGTTCCCCGTGGATATTTCCCAGCCAACCAGTGGGTGCCGATGACACGTGCGGTTTTGCTGTTCTCCCAGGGTGGCGGCCGTGGCCCTGGGCATGCCTCAGGGGTCCGCTGGCTCAGTGGGACCCCTGCCTCGCACACTTCCCCAGGAGGCATGGCCACCCCTTCCCTGCACGACGGCTTCTGCTTTGGTCAAGTAGAGCAGCCATTTCCTCCTGGACACTGAGAGAGCAGAGGGATGGGCGCCCCCTGCACAGGCCTGGGGGAGTGTGGGAGGGTGGTGGCCTCGGCTTCCTCTGACCGCCCATGTCTGCTTGCTTCCAGATGACCTACGGACCCTGTGCTCCAGGCTACCCCATAACAAGTAAGTGCCTGTTGGCACGCTGGCCTGTGCAGCCTCCAGCTGTGCGTTGGTGCTGAGGTGGGGAAGGAAAGCAGGCCCTAGGGATGTGACGGGGGCTGAGGAGCGTAGCCGGGCACACCCAGGGATTGCCAGCTCACCAAGTGGCTGGTGCTTCCTTTAGCCCTGCCTGCTGTCTGACAGGGCAGTGGGAGACACCGCCCTGCGGGCTGTGTGGGACAGCGTGTGAGCAGGACAGGCCCCGCACACTGCCGGCAGCAGTGCATCTGCCGCTGCCACCTTCCCTGGGCACAGACTGCGGCGGGGGACCAGACACAGGATTCTGCATGGGAGCACGGGGGGCACCTGGCCGGGGGTCGGGGTAATGGAGGTCAGCACTCAGCTCCTCCCCCTCTCCTTTCTCCTGCTGCTCATTAGGTCACAATTGCAGGTGCACAGTCCACAGGGTGGCCCTTTTCGGGGGCCTCCCACCGCACGGGGTCCTCTCAGTGTGAGCAGCACGCACCCTGCACCTGTAGTGACCCCTGTGGAACTGTCCCTTGCTGCCCACAGCATTGCTGCATGTGTCTGATGTGGTCGTGGCCTTAACCATGGTCCCTCCTTTGCCATGTACCTGCTGGGCTTGGTGGGCTGAGAGCCTTCCCTACATGCACAAGGAGCTGGGCGTGCCACAGTGGGTGGTATTGGCTCCCAGCTTTCAGAGCGCCCTGTGCACCAGAAGCCTCTGGAATTGCCGCCTCTCTGGCAGGCTGTACAGTTCAGAGGCATCCTCACCTTTGCCTTTCACGGCATCCTTCCCCAGAGTCTCACAGATAGAAGGAACTCAGAGGAACATTGGGCCATGACAGTGTCAGAACCACCACCATGGCTGCGTTCTCCAGACACCCCTGTGCCAGCTGTGGCTGGAGGGCCGCCATAGGACTGGGCAGGCTGGTCTGTGGTCGGAGACGGGCATGCGGGCGAGGCCCAGGAGTGGGCTGACAACAGCTGATCAGACGGGAGGGAGTCCTGTCAGAGTGAGGGGCTCCAGAGGAAGAGCTGGGAGTGATGGGGTGTGGGTCACAGAGATTCCAAGAAGGGCGTAGGCCGCAGGAAGCTGGACTGGGAGCCAGCACACAGACCAGCAAAAGGGAGTTGGGGGACGTCATCCCTGGTGAATGGCTGCCGGGGCTGAGGTGGGCTGTGAGCACGGGGTCTGCGGTGCCCCCGTAGGTCAGTCGGGGAAGGGGAGGCTTATGCTTGGGATCTGAGCAGAGGCAGCCAGAAGCTGCCCTGCCCTGGGCTACAGAGCTGAATGGAACCTGCTGGTCCCTGGTCCATGATCGCCTCTGCCCAGGATGAAATTCTGGCAGAGCAGGTCATCTCAGCTCTCCCCATCATCCTGCCTGGGATCCGCATGTCGAGGCTTACAAGGGACCTCTCCTGACCTGAGGTGATGAGGGGTCCAGGGGCCAGGCGGGCAGGTGTAAGGAGCTGGCCCTGGCCCCCAGGGTCTGTGTGTGCAGATGGCTGGCCCAGCCAGTGGTGCTAACCTTTCTCCTTGTTCACAGCCTACTCCAGCTGGTCATCTCGGGCCCAGTGCAGCAGTCACCGCACACAGCGCTGCCCCCTGGCTTCTACCCGCACATCCACACGCCCCCGCTGGGCTATGGGGCCGTGCCCGCCCACCCTGCTGCTCACCCCGGCCTTCCCTCGCACCCCGGGCACACCTTCATCTCAGGCATGACATTTCCCTTCAGGCCCATCCGCTAGGCAGCCTCCGAAAGCCGCCAAGCGGCCACGTGCCTTCTGTGCCTGGGTCGGAGGATGCTTCTGGAGAAAAGTGGGGTCCAAGCCCACAGAAGAGGACCTGAGGGAGGCAGCCAGGTGCACACCTCGCTGGCAGAGCCGCCTTGCACACAGACGCCTCTTGCTGTGGCATCCAGGAAGGCTGGCGGAAGGAGTGTACAGCCCAGGGCACCGAGGGTCTGGTCCGCCAGCTCTGACACGCCGTGAGGATTACTGACGTGGGAAACCACTTCTGTCGTGACTGTGACATGGCCCTGCCAAGAACTCGGGCGCCACCAGCAGCTCCGTGAGCTGAGAGCTGGAGCAGCGGCTGCGGCCTCACACGCAGCCCAGGCGCCGCTCAGGGATGCCTGCCGGGATGGCCCGGATTGAAAGTCACTAAATGTTCCTTTCATATGTTCCAATAAATTGTTTTCTAAACTGTTTCATAGAGTCCAGGGGATGAGTGGATCCTGAGTGCAAGCTTGGAGCTTTTCTCCTCCAGTGTCGGTCAGGGAAGGAGATGGGCTCCTCGCTGCCCATGCCCTTCACAGCTGCAGTCCTTGGCAGTGCACTGTGCAAAGGCGGCTGCCTAGGAGAAGGGAGGAACAGTGCCCAGCTCGGGGCTGCCCTGGCCTGCAGTGAGCAGTGGGATCTGGTGGCAGTCGCCAGCAGGCTGGACCCCGGGGGCTGGAGGTGGAGGGGGTCACTGTGGCATTTTCTTCCTTGTGCTGTGTCTCCTGGGATGGGCTAAGTTGGTCATGTGTCAGTTCAGGAGCTGGGGACACATGCCATCCCTTTCCCCTGAACCTGCATGCGGCTGCCCGGGGCACAGCGTGGGCACAGCGTGAGCCTACGGGGAATGTGCATGGCCGTGCTTTGTCACAAATCTGTACGTAGCTGCCCAGGACACAGCGTGGGCACAGCATGAGCCTATGGGGAATGTGCATGGCCATGCTTTGCCCCAAACCTGCAGGTGGCCACATGTGCCAGGCATATGCTAAGTAGTTAACAGTGTCAGCAGACACATGGGTGAGCGTTTAATGGCTTAAACACCTCCACGTGACCATCACAGTAGCTGGGTTCAATACTGTACTGGCTCCCGACTCCAGCTTCCAGCGCACCGTGAGAGTCGATGGTGTTGCCTCAAGTCCTGGGTTCCTACCTCCATAGCAGACCCAGACTGACAAGGCTGCCACCTGGCCCAGGTCCAGCAGGCTGGTGGCAAATCAGCAGATGGGATCTTTCTGTTTCTCAAATAAATTATTTTTTTTAAATTTTGTATCTGACAAACTATCTCTGATGGCATCTATATAGAAAGTATCAACAAGCGCAGGTTGATCCGGACAGTGCAGTCCATACCTGGGCGAAGAACAGGGGCAGAAGATGCATGCAGCCAAGGAACGGAGCTGACGGGCTGGGGCCTTGGGAATGTTTACAGCATCTTTCCTGGGCCACAGGCAGTAAGCCATGGCCTGCAGTATCCCCTTGGGCGCTGGTTCCAGCCCCTGCAGCTCCACCTGCCATCCAGCTCCCTGCTCGTGCATGTGGGAAAGCAGGTGGGAGACCAGGATGGAGTCCCAGGCTCCTGGTTTTGGTTGCCTGGCCCAGGCATGGCCATTATGAACATTCGGGGAGCGAACCAGCAGATTGAAGAGCTCTCTCTTCCCAGCCCCTTCCCCTTCCCCTCCATGATATTTACCTTCTTTTAAAGACTGACTTTTTATTCTTATTTGAAGAGTAGAATTACAAAGATAAAGTGAGACACACACCACAGAGATCTTTCATCTGCTGGTTCACTACCCAAAGGGCCAAAATGGACCAAGCTGAGCAGATCTGTACCCAGGAGCTTCTGGGTTTCCCACATGCAGGGGACCATGTACAGGATCCCAAGGCTTTCGGTTGTCCTCTTCTGCTTTCCCAGGCCACAGGTGGGCAGCTGGATGGGAAGTGGAGCAACCAAGACACGAACCAGTGGCCCTAGGAAGTGCTGGTGCCACAGGCAGAAGCTGAGCCTACAATAATACCACAGTGCTGGCACATCACTGGCTTTAAAAAATTCCAAACATGCTGTTCGGTGGTCTAGTGACAGTGTATGGCATAGAACAGCCAGGTTTACCCATTTCGGAGATGATGGGTTGGGAGGGTTCATTTTCACTTTGTGGCTATTAGAACCATCCAGGGTCTTGGCAGGCAGGCAACATCAGCAGTGCAGCCACTGGGACCAGACCCCAGGAAGGACCGGGCCCTGTGCCACACTCAGAGCCACTGAGAGCCGGTGACCAAGGTGAGTGTTGCTAGGACTTGCGGTTTTCAAAAGAAAATGGGCCCAGGGGCCCTGTGCTGTGTCTTCCTCTTTTAAGGTTGATGTGTTTGAGATACGGAGCTATGGAGAGACAGGAAAGAGCCCTCTCACTTCTGACCCAGCTCTCTGCTTGTGTGCCTGGGAAAAGCAGCAGAGAAGGACCAAGTGCTTGGGCCCTGCCACTCACAGGAGATGCCCACATGGAGCCTTGAGCTCCCGGCTTGGATTGGCTTAGCCCCAGCCATAGCAGCCTTTAGGAAGTGAACCAACAGATAGATCTGTCTCTTTCAAATAATAGATCTTTACAAGCAGAAGACAAGGGCCCTGCACAGAATCCTAGCTGCTAAAGTCTTTATCTTCCACACACCAGGATCCCATGTGGGCGCTGGTTCATGGCCCCACTTCCCATCCAGCTCCCTGCCTGTGGCCTGGGAAGGCAGTCAAGGACGACCCAAAGCCTTGGGACCCTGCACGCACGTGGGAGACCTGGAAGAAGTTCCTGGATCCCGGCTTTGGATTGGCTCAGCTCTGGTCATTGCAGCTTCTTGGGGAGTGAGCCAGAGGATGGAAGATTTTTTTTCTCTGTCTTTCCTTCTCTCTGTATATCTGCCCTTCCAATAAAAATAAATAAATAAATATTAAAAACAAAAAAAAAAACCAACAAAAAAAAGCAGAAAACAAAGCTATTAGAGAGGACTTCAGCCCACCATGCCTTGTAGCCTGGACCCAGACACGCATTCAGAGAGAAGGCCACATGAGGGAGAAGGCAGGATCAGGCAGCGCAAGCCTAAGGCCGCTAGTAACACCCAGCAGTGGGGACAGACCTGGGCCAGGTACCTTTCCACCTTCAGAACGGCGGCAGCAGAATTCAGATGTGAGAGTAAACTCTGTTTGGGGTCCGGTGCAGTAACCCAATGGCTAAAGTCCTTGCCTTGCATGCCTGGGATCCCATTTGGGGAGCAGTTCTAATTCTGGCTGCTCTACTTGCCTTCTAAGACCTGAATACGTAGCTTGAAGATGTGTGTCCCTGCCTGGGGCTGTCAGGCCCATGAGTTCCTCCTGTCCCTGCCTTGTCTTCCCTGCGGGGTGAGGCCCACCCATAGTAGAGGGAGCCAGCTGTTTCATTCAGACACCTGATCTATTGAATCACAATGTTTGGCCAAATGTCTGGCCCGGTCCAGTTAACACACACATCAGCCATTGCACGAAAGAGTCCCCACCCTGGCTGGCTCTTGCCAGCCGCTCTCTTCCCAGAAGGAAACTACACACACACTCCAGCACAACAGAGACAAGGGCTACCACTTCCTACACAGCTGCCCACAGCCACCTTGGCCACTTTCTCCAGCTGCCACACAAGTCGTTTAGCCCTGATCTCACTCATACCAGCGGGCACCTGGAATACCCGCTGAGCCCTAGAGGACCCTGTTCACCATCATGAAGAGTCACAGCGATGCCCAAGAATGCAGAGGGAAAGTGTCCCGGAACACAGTGGCAGGAGGTAGCCCCAGCTGGCAGCCACTGTCCAGTTCAGCTCCAGACAAAGCAGGTGCCAGAAGGGAAGCCTCCAGGAAGCAAAATGAAACAAGAAGAGAACAAGTTGCTGAGCTGTTGGACTGGGCGGGAGGTTGGGCTGACAGCTGTTCCTAGAGTCAGTAGAGGTGGAAGACACACAAAGCTGTTCCGTGAAGGAATCAAAGCCAGTGGCAGAAGAAAAAGCGATGAACTCATTCAGAAAAAAAATAAAACAAAAGAATAAAAAGCCCATTTCTCCGCGGTACATGCTAGTTTCATCAGAGTGGTGTGCAGACGCCAACAGGGGTTAAGGGACTCTGACATCAGATGGTGATCACCCAGACTGGAGTTGGGTAATGTACACTGCGCCCACTTCAGCCACCAGCTGCAAGTCCCACCCATGCCCCTGACCTAGGGCCCCGCAGTCAGGGGTTCCCATGCTGTAACTGGTCTGGTCATCCCCAATCACAACCTAGGGAAGAAAATGGTTCCAGTCAGGACCTACCACCTGCGGTCCCTGCATGAGGCCAGGGGCCAGGGACGGTGTGGGCTGGGTGGGGCTCCTTGGTTCTCAGCCCACGGGAGTCCATCTGCACAGAAGAGGGCTCACCCCAGCCCCCTGTACTGAGTTTTTACTGGGTCTCACTCAGCATGACGCAATGGTGATGTCCTGAACTCTGGGCTGGACAGGGACGAGAAGGAGTTGATAAAACAAGATTGCACAGGCTGAAGGCGGGAGACCTGGCAGGATGTGTAAATGCTGCTGGAAGGAAGCCAGCGGAGGGCCAGTTTTCAGCAATGAGGATGTGGGGAGGCAGAGGCAGCTCTTCCTCCCTTCCTTCCCCCCTCCCCTCCCGGGGAATCAGGGGCGATCCTGGAAAGGGGCACCCACCCCCTCACCTGTTCACATCTGACCCTCCTGGCCTGCAGGCTGCCGAGTGACCTGCCTCCAGACACCGGGCAGCAGGTGGTGCGCAGCCTCCGGACAATTCTGCCTTCATTGTTGGGTTCTGGATACTGCACCTGTTCTCAGAGTTGAGCCATATGCTGCCCTCTGTCCTCCTTGGGAGATGCTTAGGCAGGGTCTTCCTGGAGGAACCCCTCGCGTGGGCAGGACTCAACCCTTGGGGGAGGGGGCGTGACCCGGGACCTTGAGACCAGAGGAAGGCGTCAGAGGCCAGGAGAGGGACAAACCCAGCACACCAAGGCTGGTCCTACGATCACAGTTCGCCCACCCGGGAGGCGCCTGCCCTGGAGAACACAGCTGGATCCAGGAGGATCTTCATTAACCAGGTCGTACCCGGTCCTCCTGGCTTGCCCTCCGGGGAAGGGGAGGCGGGATGGATGGGCGCGTCTGGGAGCCCCAGTCCGGTGCGCCCCGAGCCACAGACGCCAGCCAGGGCGCGCGCACCGGGGATACGGCACCGCGTGCTGCGCTGAAGCCGGTCTTGGACACGCGCAGAGCTGCTAGTCCAGCGTCTGCGCCCGGGTGTGCGGCCGGCCCGGGAAGGGTTAAGCCAACCGAGCTGGCGGCGGCCTAGAGCGGCGGCGGCAAAGACCGCGGCGGCGGCAGCGGCGGCGGCGGGGGCCGGGGCGCGGGGGCGCGGCGGGCGCAGGGGCGGGGGACAGGATGCGGATGCCGGGGGGACTTCCTGTGCCAGCTCCGCGCCCCCGGCCCGGCCCGGCCGCGGCGCCCGCCCCGCGCCCCGGCCTGGCCGTCTGCGCGGGCTGCGGGCACCTGTAGCAGCCCGCACCTCGCGCCGCCCACCCTTGCCTTCGGCCCCGGGTTCCCAGCTGCTCCCCTATGGGAGACGGCCCGGGCCCAGCTGCGCGCCATGGTCCGGCCGGGTGCGCGCTGAGTCTCCGGGCCTCCAGGGAGTCTACGCTAACTTGGGCTCTGGAACTCCCCTCGGCGCAGGGCGAGCTCGGCAGCGCTGACAGCGCAAGCGGCACGGAGGAGCGCGCAGCAGGGGCCCCGGGTGGCACCGCGCCTCCGCGGCTCTTGTGGATGGAGGCGCCTCCAGACGCAGCACGTTAAGCGCCTGGCCTGCCTGGCCTGCGCCGCTGGGCCCCTGCGGACCACACCTCCCCTGGCGCAGACGCTGCCCTGCGAGCTGGAGATGCGGTACCAGGTGAGGCCCTGGAGCACGGCGCCTCTCTCAGGAGGGTTTGGGCTGGACTCCGAGAGCCCAGGTGCACCGGGAGGCAGGAGGACTGACCAGGGTGGACTCAGCGAGGGGCGCCAGGGCATATGCCCAGCCCTCAGCAGTGCCATGGCACATAATGGTGCCTTAGACAACTGCCGCTTCAGGTGGCATATGCCACAGGTGGCCTCAAAATGCTGGGCAAGCCCCGACCACCCCTGCAGCCCATAGAAGCTGTGCAATCCACCCGAGGGCCACCCCCCAAGTGTCCCTTCTGTGACCGCAGCCCCTCCCGTATTTCCAGAGTCCCTGTGGTGCCCCTTGGCCTCAGGCTTACAAGATGCCCCGTGAAGAGACAGATCTGGGCAGGATTCCCCGCCAATCCCCCCTGCCCAGGCCAGACTACCCTGACCTTAGTTTCGTCAGCTGTAGTATGCACTGCACTGCCTCCCCAGAGGGGTGGAGGCCTCTGAGGGGTCCCTGGCCAGGGGCCCCTCTGAGCACCTCCTCCCTTCCTCTTATCACAGCCAGCTCCGCAAGATCCTGGGCTGGCGGCCAGGATGGAGCTGGGGCCGGGAGCCGCCACTGAGACCTTCATTCTGGAGTTACACTGTGTGCAGGATGGCTGTCCCGGGCCTGACGCCCTCTCAGGTGAGGCTCCCCCTCGCGCGGGGAGGGCCCCAAGGAGAAAGGGGGCAGCCCCACCGGCATGAGCCTCGTGGCACATGGGCAGGTCTGCGCTGGGATGCTCCAGGGCGGCTCTGTGTCTGGCTGAGGTCTTGCCAGCCAATGTCTCTGACAGGTGGTCCCTGCCATCCGTTTAACTGGCTCTGGCTGCCAACTCAGTCGCAACACACTTGTTAGAAGTCATTTGTTAAAAAAACACTGCAGTTGCGACTCCAGGAAGTTGGGGTGGCATTACGGCCAAGTTTCATGTTGGAAATGGGGAGACTCCACGGCGCCATATGTCCCCGGTGCTCCTGTGGGAGGGGTGGGACGAGGTGGGGCACGCCTGCTGCAGGTAGGGGGTGGGCAGGCTCTTATGATGACCACCTGCCCGCCCGAGGCGGGGAGTCTGAATGAGGAGTGGGGGATGGGCACTTGCTGAGTCTTCTGCCTGTTGCTGTGGTTATTAGGAATTGTTTTTTTCCTCAAAGAAAATGAGATGGATACAGATATCTGTTGGTTGGCCCAGGAAAAGGGGCCAGAAAGTGAGACGGAGATCAGGGCGCGCAGGGAGGACACGTTGCTGGTATCCGGCCTGGCGGGGAGAACCCCTCCTTGGGAGAAGTAGGATGTCCTTGCAAACAGCGGGGGGATGCAGCCTTGGCGTAGGAGGGACGGATGTCAGGCCCGACTCACCCCCTGCCTCTGCCTTTAACCTCTGGCCTCCTCACTTGGTGTCTGCCAGGGGTTTCCCTCCTGTCATGGAAGAGGAACTGAAGTGCCCAAAGGAGGAACAGAGTCCCAGGGTCAGCCCTGGCCATGGCTGAGTGGCAGGGGCCTGGCACACTGTGTCCCCCCCGCCTCCAGGCTATTGCACATCAAGCCGGTCATATTCTTGTAGTTTCCAATCTACATTTCCCTTTGCAGGCCAGCTCCCAACCTGCAGGGGAGGTGGGGGCTCTCCCAAGACTCCCTGGAGAAGTCGTTGGCTGGTGGCCTCCAGCTGTCCCATGGGGTAGCACCAGACCTGCCCGCTCACCCATGCCCTCATGGCTCTGGGACACCTGGGTGATTCCTACCTAATACTGCTTCTGGCAAACTTACACAAGTTCTTGCTATTCACAGAGAAGGTGGCTTTCACAGGTGAAAAGTGTGACTCTTAACAGAGGTTCCAGGTCAGCCTGGGGCTGTGTGCTGGCTGCACTGGCCAGTTTGTGGCTGCCACACCGTCCGGGTGCTGGCATGGAGGGAGGCCTGCCTTCAAAGGGAGGCTGGGGAGGGCGCAGTGCTCCCAGGGGGATGACTCCCTTCCCTGGGCAGTTTACTCTGTGCCAGTTTCCTTGCCTGTGGAGCCTTGTGCCTTGGCTTCCTGCCATTTGCATTATAGGTGGCAGCGGAGGGAGCGAGGGGCACAGCAGCTCCCAGCGGCCAGCTGGGGCCAGTGAGCGCCTGGGGGAGACCCAGCCTGGACCACAGCAGCCGCAGCCTCCTGCACTGGAGCCGGAGGACGAGGAGGGGGAGGTAGAGCTGGAGCTCCTGCCCGTGGACCTGTCGGCGGAACAGGAGCAGGAGCTGGAGCGGCAGCGGGAGGAGCGGCAGCTGCAGCTCAAACTGCAGGAGCAGCTGCAGCAGCTGGAGCGGCACCTGGAGCAGCAGCAGAGGCTGGAGCAGCAGCAGCAACTGGCGCAGCAGGAGGTGCAGCTGGAGCTGGCCCCTGTGGAGCTGGGTGCCCAGCCGCAGGAGCTGCAGCTGGAGCTGACCCCCGTGCAGCCCGAGCTGCAGCTGGAGCTGCTGCCAGCAGCTGCGGGTGGCGCTGGGCCGCCTGGCCCCGGGGCTCCAGCCACCGTCGTGGTGGCGCCCCCGGGGTACTTGGTGCTGCAGGAGCTCATGGTGCTGCCCGCTGTGCCCACGTCCACGGTGGTGCCCATCCCGGGCCCTGCAGGAAGTGCCGCTTTGACGCCAGCGCGGCAGCGGCGGCGGCGCCGGGCCCGAGACAGGCCGACCATCTGCGGGGAATGCGGCAAAGGCTTCAGCCGCAGCACAGACCTGGTGCGGCACCAGGCCACGCACACGGGTGAGCGGCCGCACCGCTGCGGGGAATGCGGCAAGGGCTTCTCGCAGCATTCCAACCTGGTGACACACCAGCGCATCCACACGGGCGAGAAGCCCTACGCCTGCTCCTACTGCAGCAAGCGCTTCAGCGAGAGCTCAGCGCTTGTGCAGCACCAGCGCACGCACACCGGGGAGCGGCCCTACGCCTGCGGCGACTGCGGCAAGCGCTTCAGCGTCTCCTCCAACTTGCTGCGCCACCGGCGCACGCACTCGGGCGAGCGGCCCTATGTGTGCGAGGACTGCGGCGAGCGCTTCCGCCACAAGGTGCAGATCCGCCGCCATGAGCGTCAGCTGCACGGTGCCGGCCGCTCGCGGGGCCTCGGCCTGCTGTGCAGCTCCCGGCCTTCCGCCCCTGCTGGCCCAGCACGCTCGCAGCCACTGGGGAGCACGCAGTCCTGCCACAAGGCATCCTGAGCCCAGTTTGTGGTGGAGGAGGAGCCGTCTCTCCAGACACCGTCCCCACAACCCGGGCACGCGCCAGCCGCTGCTCCCTACTCCACTCCTCCGCTACATCCCTACAAAGTCCGCAGCCAGCGCTTGAAACCACCCACCAGAAGAAAGAGGGGACTAATGGCCACTGGGCACTGGTCCTGGGGAGGGGTCAGCCAGAGCGCCTGATGGAAACTCTCTCCAAGCGGCCATCGGTGGCCCTGGCCACCGCAGACAACAGCAACACACCCCCTCCCCACCCCAAGTGAAAACTTACAAGGAGACCCCGTTACACTTTGGAGGGGAAAAGACTTGGCCTCAGCTAGTTGATTCCAAAAAGGACAGAGGAAGGAGGGTGCACTTCGTGCTCAGAGCAAGGCTCTGAGTGACCCCCCCCCCAAACTTTCCTCTGTTCTCCTGGGAAATAAAATTCTCCCCAGGACGAGACCCCCAGCAGGCTGCGCACAGCATGCTTGCGTCAAGGGCCTTGGGCTCAGGTGCAATCTCCCCTGCCCCTCACCCGGGGTGGGGGTCTGCTCTGGCTGGAAGGTGAGACCTTCCAGGCGTGTGGCAGTGGGAACCCAAAGTTTCCATGCCCACCTGCAGAGCCCCCTGGACAATCAGTGGTAAAGCAGAAGGCATCCTGGGGATGCTCAGCACAAAGAAGAGGGGTCCCAGCTCGGACCTGCCGTGGAAAGAACCAGTTCTATGCTCCTGGGACACCATCCAAGGTGGACACAGACCCAGGGGCAAGGCAGTTCTGGCCATGGCTGGGGTGGGCACTACCGGGCCAGACCCTCCGTGGAGGCTAGGCGAGGCACTCAGTCTCATCAGCTTCATCGCGTTCGCACAGGCAGGTGCAGAGGGTTGCTCCCTGGGAGAGGCCTCCCACTAGCACCTTCTGCTTGGCCCTGTTCCCACAAGGGTCCGCAGGGTCCCGCCATACTCCTCTCCCTCCCCCGCCCCGCCTGTCCATCTTCCCGACACAGCCCATCGCACTTTACACGCCACGTGCTGGAAAATGAAATCCAGAGGACAAATAAAAAAATGGAGAAACGCCGTGTGTGCTGCCTCTTGCTGGTCTCTGGGTCCCCGCAGAGCTCGGTCCCCCGAGGAAGGCATGACCATCCCACTCCCTGGACAGCCATGGGTCCCTCGGCCCTTTCACCAGTGGGCCCTGGACCCGAGCAGAAGCCACTCCTGACCTCCATGCAGCCCGGGGTCTGGTCCTGCAGGGACTGATACTCCGTGCTTGTGACAGCTTGGGGGTGTGTCATAGGGTGGGGTGCAGGTTGTTGCTCTGCCTGTACTGGGGGGCACATGTGGGGCCTCTCAGCCTTTACAGCAGCCCCTCTAAACCCTGCAGAGGCTGGACACCCAGAGAGCATGTGTCCGCATACCGGGAGAATGGGTGTGGGGAGGTGTGGCGTGCCCTCAGCCTAGGTCAGGAAACCTCAAAGCAGGGTGTCTAACCCTGCTCCCTCTCCTGTCCTTGTTCTCCCTAAGCTCCTGGCCGGCTTCACTTCCAAGGCCGGCTTCTGGGAGACCTAGCTGAGGATGCCCGGTGGGGCGGGGAGCTTGCTGCAGCAGGAGGTTGCTGTACCAGGATCTAGAGGGCTCCCAGTGGGACAGGCCATGTGACCTCAGCACCTGATGCTGTCAAGGGGGGCTGGCTGACCTCCTATGAGAATTTTTTTTAAAATTCAGATTTATTGGGCCCAGCGCAGTGGCGCAGTGGTTAAGGTCCTCACCTTGCACACCCGGGATCCCATATGGGCGCCGGTTATAGTCCCGGCAGCCCCGCTTCCCTTCCAGCTCCCTACCTGTGGCCCGGGAAAGCAGTCGAGGATGGCCCAAAGCTTTGGGACCCTGCGCCCGCGTGGAAGACCCAGAAGAGGCTCCTGGCTTTGGATCGGCATAGTATCGGCCGTTGTGCTCACTTGGGGAGTGAATCATCGGACGAAAGATCTTCCTCTCTGTCTCTCCTCTCTGTATATCCGCCTTTCCAATAAAAAATAATAAAAATAAATCTTTAAAAAAAATTCAGATTTATTTATTTGGAACACACAGATGTTCATTTTCTGGCTTACTCCCTAAATGGCCGTAGCTTGCTGCTCCAACTTGTTCCAACCAGACCAGGTGCCAGGCTGAAGCCAGGAGCCAAGCACCTGGCCTCCTGCATGGCTGGAAGGGGTTTGGACCCTTGAGCCACCACCTGCCACCTCCCAGGAACATTCGCACAGAGAGGATCAGAAGCAAGGAAGCTGGAGCTTGGAACTGACTGAGAGAGGCCTGACCCCGGGGCTTTGTGTCCAACAGGCTTGCTGGCCAAGTCTAGAACTCTGCCGAGACGGAGGCTGTCCCAGGGTAAGCTCAGCTCAGCACCTTGCGTGGGGCCTTTCTCCCGCTCCGCGTCAGCTGTGATGTTCTGAGGGTGCCCAGGAGGGCTTGGTGACTGCTGTCCCAGCCAGTGGCTGGCATGCCACCCATTTTCTCGCCTGTAGAATGGGAGCGCTGGGGCTTTGCTCTGGACTGGGGGAAGGGATCTGTACCTCCAGGCTGGGCTCTCTGGAGGCACTGGGGACATGTCCGCTGACAGGAGCCACCTAGCACCTTCTCCTTCCTTTGCTGGGAGTTTCCAAGACAAGGCTTTGTGTCGTTCCAGGCTTTTATGTTGTTGAAATGAAGACTTTGTAACCTCGGTGGAGAATCCTTCTTCTCTGTGTGTGACAGAGAGAAAGAAAAAGAGAAAGCAATAGAGAGAATCTTCCACGTGCTGGTTCACTCCCTAAATGGCCAGAACAGCTAGGGCTGGACAAATCAAACCAGCTTTGGCGTTGTGGAAAGCAGCCCACCAGGGACGGTCTCTCGGCCAGCAGCGCTCTTCCCCACTCAGTTCTCAGAACTCAATTAGCCCTTTTCCTCCTCTAGGTCCTTCTGCGCTCCTCCGGTGCTGTCCTGCCAGGGCGTGGCACCAAGCCCCATTAGTCGGGAAGGGTGCAGACCCATGTCCTCGCCCTCCCTCCCTCCGTCGGCGGGGACAGAAGGCGGTGGAGCCCCCACTTACAGAAAACCAGAGGCTAGACAAACAGCACCTATTATAACATAGCACAAGGAGACCGCGGCGCACACTGCACTGGCTTCTGCACGCGGCACGGACAGGCATCCCTACGCAAGTAGGCGCTTGGGGTGCTTGTTTCCTAGGGAATGCTAAGCAGGGAGTTGGGGTGGGGTTCAGGCTAAGCAGATCCAACAGGGTTGTAGGCGGCTGGAGCAGACAGGGTTTGAGCAGATATGGAGGAAGGTGTAGGTTCTGGCTGAGCTGACTGGAACAGGGCTCCTGTGGGAACTGGACAGTGCCAGCATGGGCAGGGCGGCCCAAAGTCCCAGCTGGGCTGGGCAGAGGGGGACAGGGGAGAGAGAATCCCTATTTCCAGTTCTTAAAGCAGGCTCAGCCCCACCCCACCTGCCCCTCTCCACCTGGCAGCCCGTGTGGAGCCCCTTTAAAAATATATTTTTTTATAATGTTGCATTATAACTGGTACACAGTGGTTTTTCTCTCTCTTTTTTTTAGATTGATTTTTTATTTGCAAGGCAGAATGATAGAGAAAAACAGAGTTTCCATTTTCTGGCTCACCCCCCAGATGGCTGCAACCATCAGGGCCAGCCCAGACCTGAGCTTGCTTGTCTGGCCCTGGGGGCTGTTCCTGGGTGTACAGGTCTTTCTGCAATTCCTGTTGATGCCCCTCCCCCTGCGCAGTCCCCCCAACATCCTGTCCCCCAGTCCTGATGCCCCCCCATCAGCTGCCACCTCGGGCACGCTGGCTGAGCACCCAGTCCCCACAGGCAGCCTCCATCTTCCCCGCACAGTTCACTGGCCCTCCCCAGGGACGAGGAAAAAATGGTCCAGGCAGGGTGGGAGCTGGGGAGGAGCCCCAGGGCATGCACAACCTTCCAGGCTGCTGCAGGTGCCAGGAGTGTGCACACACGCCCCGGGGATGGAGGCCAACAGGTGGCCGCGGCTCCCATAGCTTCCGCTTCTCTGCGCGGGCTGCGGGGACCTTCCCGTTCGTGGTTCGACGCTAGGACCCTCCGACCTTTCCTGCAGTCCTGGCTGACGCCCCCCCATCCTTGTGCCCCCCAGTCTGTCCGTCCCGCAGCACACTCCGCATCCCCGTCGTGTGCACACGCAACCCTGCGTGCTGGCGACTTCGGGCGACTTTGTGTGTGTTGGGGGAGATCTAGCCCACCTGCGATGGATCGGTAGCTCCCCTCACCCAGCCAGGAGGGGGCCTGGCTACACACGCCGGCTGGACGCTCCCACAGGCCCCTCCATGTCCCTCCACCATTCCGGGGGCCGATGCGGGCCCTGCCGCTCCGCAGGCTCTCCTGGACGTGGGCGAGCGGAATCCGGGCCGGGGAGGGTCTCAGGAGTGGGATCCAGGAGAGCCGGACGGCCCTGCTGGAAGCTCCTGCGGCCTCCGCGTGACCGGAAGTGCCCCTGCGGGCGGGCGCGGGGCGGGGCCGGAGGGCGGCACTTCCGGTGCCCACGCGCCGCCGCCGCCGCCGCAGCAGCGCAGCTCGGGGGCCGTCACTTTGTGTAGCGTGGGGGGCCCTCGGCGGCCCGCAGGCCCCGGCCCGGCCAGGCCCGGCTCGCTCGGTGAGTGGCGCGCGATGGCGCGGGAAGGGCAGGTGCAAGGCGGACTCGGGCTGTCCCCTGGACGCTGGGCGCGGGAGGCCGCAGCGCGCGCTGCAGGGTTGGGGGGCCCGGCGGGACCGGAGGGGCGCGCGGGCTGGGCTTTGGGGAGGCACGAACGCCCGCACCCCGTGGACCACGTCCCAGCCTCCCCGCTTCCCGGGTCTGCGCGCTCAAGGCGGGCTGGGAGTCCCTTGCACCGCGAGGAGTGGGCGGGCCGGGGAGGCCACGCGCGACGCCTCGGGAGTGTCCGCCGCCGCCGCCTCCTGCTCCAGGGGCGGACACTGGACCGCGCTGCCCCCAGGACACACCTATCCAGGAGAGGCTGTCACTTCAGGGCTCCTTGCGGGAGCTGGAGCGCCTCTCCATGCACACACTTCCCAGAGGGAGGTGGGAGGCAGGGCTGAGGACCTGGTGCCCCCAGCGCCTGCCTTGTGGCCTTGGGGTGTGTGTGTGTTGGAGAGGGCAGGGTGGCCTTTTGCTGGGCTGTTGTACTGAGCAGGTGCTTGGGGAGGGAGGGGTTGCAGCTGGAAGTAGGAGGGTTCTCTGGTCCCGCAGCTCTTGTCTGGGCCGAGCATCCTTGGCACTTGATTCTACAGGTATCTGCAAGCCTGGGGAGCTGGCCAGGGCGGTTTTAGGAAATCTGGTACCTGCACCTGCTCCAGGCATAGACCCAGGAGTGGTTGGGGTGGTGGCCAGCTCCATGAGGCTGTTCAAGGATGGGGGACTTCCTGGGCCTCCCACCCCCAGGGAAGGAGGGAGATTAGGTGCGGGTGTATCCTTCTGCACTTCAGGATCGGGGTGTGTTTTGAGCAGCTCCTTGAGCATCCTGTCCTGGGGCGTGGGGATAGGGGTGCTCCTGCAGGTGTTGATGGGGCGCATACTTGACCCCCTGTGGCTTGCTTGGGGTGAGAACCCAGGGGCTTAAGGAGTGTTGGGGGCGGGGGGAGCCGCTGCTGACAGGCTGCGCTGAGGAGGGGGTTGCATGGGCCTTGATAGGCCGACAGCTCCCTCTGGCCCAAGCTGCAGGCATGACCTGCCCTTGGCTCTTCTGTTTGCAGCCTTTTGTGACCCCTTGCCCTGGGCACGTGTGCGGGGCTGACCTTTATTGATCTGTGGGGGTAGAGACTCTGGGGTGACCTCTAGTTTGAAGGACCCCCTCCCTTCACCCAGCTCCTGGACCGTCCACTGCAAGTCCTAGAGTCACTTCTTTAACAGGTGTTTGCCTGTTGCTTCTGGGGCCGAGCTCAGGAAAAGGAAAACAGCCCAGTGAGGTCTGAGATGCAGTTCTGCGTGCCTAGAGGCATGCCTGCATGGGGCGGGGTCGGGGCTGCTTCTGCACCTGTTGCTGAAGAAGGGGAAGGATGCTGGCTGGGGGTGTGCCTGGGCCGTGGTTGCCCCAAAGCCTCCTCCAACCCTCATGTCTTCTTGTGTGGCAGCTCCGGCTACTCTGGGCTCTGAGGTTGCTGTCCTGGGTGGCAGGGGCCAGCGGCAGCCCCTTCCAAATTGGGCTGAGCTTGGAGTAGTGTACAGCCCTGGGTGCCAGCGAGGAAGCCCGTCCTGCTGCACCTGCAGCAGCCTCTGTGTGTACTCAGCAGGGCCGGGGCTGGGGGCTGCCTGGAGACTCCACCAGAGTTGGGCAAGCTGCGGCCAGAGGTGGGGCAGGTCCATGACCTCGGGGGTGTAGGTGCTGCTGGAGGGACACAATGGAAATGGGGCTTGTTTGGGTCTGGGCCACTGACGAGGTTCGGTGCTGGGGAATGGACCCAGATTCATAGCTGTACCCCAAAAGGAGCCAGAGAAACGCATTCAGACCTCCCAGTCCAGGGCTGTGGGATGGCAGGGGTCTGTTCCACTTGGGTTCACTTCCTGTGCTGGGCAGCCCAGTCCCCATGGAGCCTCTGGGACTGAGGCCCTGCAGACCTTAGGGGTGTCTGGTCAGCAGAAGTAAAGAAGAGTCCCCTGTGTGGTGAACTTGGCTTCTAGGAGCCCCTCCCCAGCTCTCCCTGCGATCCCCAGGGAAAAGCCTGCTCTCGCTCATTTGCCAACAAGGAGGCCAACCCACTGTCTGCCAAACACCGGCCTCAACTTTGACCTGAAGAGGCCCCGGCACAGTGCCCATCGGTCCATGTGAGTGGAGCACCCGATGAGCTGCTTTGTCCCCCCGGCTCAGCTGGGCTCTGCCAACCCCTTGCTGCAAAACGTGAACTATCAGACTCGAAGACGACACGGGTTCCCCCGGCCTGCTCCCACCTAGAACAGCAGCTGCTCCGGGCTTGCATGAGGCATGCATGAGGGACTCTTGGAGTGGCCCCCCACCCCGAGAGGAGCCCTCACCCTCCCTGCCATCCTGGTGGAGCCACCACCCTCAGCTACCTTCAGCACCCTGTCCCATGTTCCCCCACTTATGTTTCAGGCCGAGCGCAGGCTCGCTCTCCGGGAGGATGGCGACCCTTCGGGCAACCCCAGACGCCCCAGGTGCCCTGCTGCCCAGGGCAGAGGATGGGGCAGAATGCCATCCTGACCAGGAGGAGGATGACAAAGAGGAGGAACAGAAGGCAGACGAGGTGGAGGCCGAAGAAGAGGAGGAGGAGGACGGTGATGGCATGGAGGAGCAGAGTGCTGCCATGGGGACCCACGCATGCCTCGGTCATGGTGGCAGGGCCAGGGTCCCAATTCTCCAGGGAGCAGGTAAGAGGAAGCAGCCCGATCCTTGGGAGAGGAAGTTAGGGAACCGGCTGGGGTGTGTCAGGCCAGGGAGAGCTTTGGGGACAAGCCGGCTACTAATGGGCACCAGGGTCCAGAGATGCAGGGGCAGGTCAGAGCCCTGGCTGTGCTCGCTGGCTGACAAGGTTGGGGCACCACGGTCCATGTGCTAAGATGTGGAATACCCCAGAGTCCTGGTCCTGCTCACTGGCCAGCCAGGCTGGGTGCTAATGGATACCAGGGCCCAGATGCTGAGATGCGGGGACAACCTGCCCTGCTCCCCAACCAGCTGCTAGTGGGCAGCTGTCCCTGACACATCTTTCTCCTTAGCCTTGCAGGGTTCCCAGCTGCCAGCTGCTCACCGGCATGGGGAGCTGGAGGACGAGGAGGAAGAGGAGGAGTTCTTGGCAGCTGAGTCTCAGGTGAGCTGGGCAGTGTCATTCCACAGGGCCAAGGCAGCTGCTGTTGGGGAGGCCTGGGGGGTCACCGGAATCCCCTGACCACGCTGCAGGAAGCAGCTGACTGTCCAGCCCAGGCCCGAGGTCAGGCTTAGCTCTCCTGGGCCTTCCCCAGCTACTGCCCACCCTGCTGGGCTGTACATAGTGGCTACCCAGCCCCCGGGCCAGCTGCGGGCAGCATCGGAGCTCTGTGTTTCCAGGGGCTGGTGACCTTTGAGGACATAGCCGTGTACTTCTCCCTGGAGGAGTGGGAGAGGCTGGATGCCGCGCAGCAGGACCTCTACCGGGAGGTCATGCAGGAGAACTATGGGATCCTGGTGTCCCTGGGTAAGGGGGCATGGCATGTGCGAGGCGGGACGCGTCTGCAGCTCCAGGGTCTTGCAGAGGGTGGGTGCTGGAGCCAGCCCGCTACCAGGAGAACCCAGCAGTCCCCCAGCTTCTGGGTGGAGCAAAGGGTGCCCCGGGTGCCACCTAGTCCATCTAAGCTCATGGGCTGGACGCATCCATGGGACTGCCAGCCCAGCTCTGATCTCCAGAGGCCCCCAGGGTGCAGAGGCAGGGGAGGTGTGAGTGTGCTTTTAGTGGAGAGGTACGTGAGGGTCTGTGTGTGTGTGCGCGCACGTGTGCTAATGCATGGGTGGAGGGGGTGCAGGAGTGAGGGCAGGCTCCCAGGGAGGGATGGAGCAGTGGAATAAGTGTGGCTAGGGACAGTATTGGGGCAGCTGTGGAGGCATTCCAGCAGCCGCTGCTGTCCTTCTCCTGGGCAGGATACCCCATCCCCAAGCCAGACCTGATCTTCCGGCTGGAGCAAGGAGAGGAACCCTGGGTGCCTGATAGTCCCCGGCCTGAGGAGGGCGACATCGTCACTGGCGTCTACACAGGTGCGTATGAGCTGGGGTTTCTGCCAGCACAAGTTCTCAGATCTGCTGGCACACTGGGGCCTGGGGCCTGGTCGCTTGTGCCATCAGGGTGTGGAGCACACACGGAGTGATGGGAGGGCCCCTGGTGCTTGGGCCAGCCTTTGCCTTGTAGCCCCTCTGGGCATGGCTGGGTGGTCCTCAGACCAGCGGGCAGGGCCTGTCCCTGTTGTCGGCGTGCGGGTAGCAGGGAGCAGGTGCATGCTCCGAGCTGGCCCTCCAGCGTCTCTGCCTCCTCTGCCCTCCTGGAGGCCTGTGCGCAAGCTTCTGACCTGGGCAGACAAGTTGAGAAGGAGATTTGGGGAGCAATGTGGACAGAAGGGGTTTGGGGATGAGCTTGTCTGAGCCTTTGGGCTTTGCTTTTCAGCCCTGAGCCCCACCTGGAGGAGGGAGAGTGTGAGTGGAGCCCTGCCCCCACTCTGTGTCCCCCATTTGCACTCTGAGGATGTCAGCCTAATGGCTAATGGCTGTGGAGGCAGCTCTGGCAGGGAGATCAGGCCATTGCCCGTTGCAGGTGCCTCTGGCTTGGGCTGGAGTGGTACTGCCTGAGGATGCTAGCCCCAAAGCTGGAGACTCCCAAAGCTGCAGCCTGGGCTGTGGTCTTTGCTCGCTCTTCCCAGGCCTGCACAGGACACAGACCCCTTTGGAGCCTCCCGTGGGCTCCCAAGGGCAAGAGCGCTGGCTGGCATGCCATGCTGACGCTGCCTCCAGGGTGAGGTTGGGGCACAGCAGGTGTTTCTCAGAGTGGGAGGTGTGACCCATTTGTGGAAGGGCTGGGAGGGAGGGTGGCATGGGTCCTCGCTGGCCAGGCTCTCAGCGCATGATCGGACTGTGCCTCATTGCCATGTACCGTGCAGGCTGCAGTCTGGATGGGCTGCTTCCCTCCACAGTGACACCTGTGCCCAGTGTCGCACTGGGGTTGGAGAGCTCCCCAAGGGGCCGGCTGGGTGCTGCTGCCCTCTGCTGGCCTTCCGCTGTGGTGGGGCCTGGCTCCCTGCCCCTGGGCTGTGGGAGAGGAGCAGGTGGAGGCTCCGTGTGCTAGACAGGGATTTAAGGGTGTCCTTGACTGAATTGTAGGCATTTGCTGTTTGGTCTGTGCCCTAGCAGAGGCCCATGAGATGGACAGGTGTGTCCTGATGGAATTTGTTTCCAGGTTGGAGTCTGGCCTCATGCTCCTTGGTTAGTGGGTCCCACAGGGCATCCCTGCACTTGTGCGTCTGCACTGTCTGAATGCTGCCAGGGACCCCACCTGCATCAGGCTCCCCTGGGGCTGCTCACCTCTCGCAGCTGTTGCCCACCCCTTCTCCCTTACCTGGCTGACTACAGGGCTTCTGCTCGCTGGGGACTGCCCAGCAGCTGCCTGGCCAGGCTTTCCCTGGTGGAACCGCATTTCCTGCCAGCCTGCAGCCTGAGGCAGGAGAGAGATGGGCCCCCCACCCAGTGGCCCACCCCAGTCTCCCTGCCTCAACAGGTGATGGGTCTGGGTTCTTTCTTGGAGTGACCCACCCAGCAGGACCAAGGTTTCGGGTGCCTCTTATGTCCTATGCCACCCAGCCCCGCTCTCATCTTCCCAGCTGTGTCCTTGACGTCAGAGTGTGTCTGAAGTGGAGCCTGTGTCTGGAGCAGTAGCCCTCTTCCTGCCACCCATTGCCAGCCCAGGCTGGCACCAGGCTGCTAGCTCCCTCACCCTTGGGAGACTTGCTGTATGTGACGCCAGCGCATCTCGGCCTCACCCTCTGATCTTGGCTCCCGCCTGCCTCTCCCTGCTGGGGTGCAGGTGCTCCTCAGCCACTGGCACAGGGCTTGGGGTTCCTTTGAGTCACCTGTTGTCTGGCTTGACCTCAGGAGCCCAGCGGTCACACAGGGTAGTCATGGCGTCCAGAGCCGTGCATGTGGTACAAGGGTTTCCTGGTTTCCCACCCCTGTCTCCAGCAGGCTTGAGCTTCCAAGGAACAGGTGCTACGTCTGGCTTGTGGTCCCCAGGCCATTGGGGCCAAGAGCGGTGTCTCAGGCTGCACAGTGGGCTGGAGTTTGGCAATGCGGGTACAGTCCTGGGGACCTGGCTCATGCTGCCCCTCAGCCCCTGCTCTCAGTGGAGCCGGCCTAGCTGAGGCAGGGACAGGGTTGGGGAGGGCCTGCTGGTCCACAGTTAGCCCAGGTGGCCTGGGGACAGCTGCTACCCAGCACACAGGCTCCTTGCGTGGCCTGCCACCCTCCCTGCCACACATGGCCCGTGAGCTCTGGTTGTGAGGCTGCCGTGTGCTGTGCCGGGCCCCAGAGGGGACCCTGGGCATCAGCAAGTCCTCCTGGCCTGGCTTGTGAGGGAGTGACAGAAGGGGCACTGAGCCTGGTATGGAGGACCTGGGTGGGGAGCCCTTGTTCCTGCTTCGTGCTTGGTGACTGCTGTTATACCTGCGCATCACACTTGAGGAACCAGAGCCCCTTTCAGGGTACCCGTAAGGGCCTTGCCCACAGCCCCATTTCGTGGGGACTCCTTATTGTAGCTAGAGGTCTCTGTGCACCTGGCCTAGCCCCCTACCTTCCCCAGTGATCCGCCATTCTGCAGTAGCTGCTGGCTCAAGTGAGCCGAGATGGCTCCAAGACTGCTGGTACCCTGCCTCCTTCACTCTTTTTTTTTTAAAGATTTATTTTTATTATTTTTTCATTGGAAAGGCAGATATACAGAGAGGAGAGACAGAGAGGAAGATCTTCCATCCGATGTTTCACTCCCCAAGTGAGCGCAACGGGCCGATACTATGCCGGTCCGAAGCCAGGAGCCTCTTCCGGGTCTCCCATGCGGGTGCAGGTTCCCAAAGCTTTGGGCCGTCCTAGGCTGCCTTCCCAGGCCACAAGCAGGGAGCTGGAAGGGAAGCGGGGCTGCCGGGATTAGAACCGGCGCCCATATGGGATCCCGGGCGTGCAAGGCGAGGACCTTAACCACTTGCGCCACCGCGCCGGGCCCCTCCTTCACTCTTCACACCTCGCTCCTGAGCAACATGGGCACTGTCTCCGGTTGGGGGTGGGGCCCAGCTGCCTGGAGGTAAGGTCCTGTGTGGGGATCTGTGACTGCCCCACAGTAGGTAAGCACTGTGGTTGCAGGGGTGGCTTCGGAGATGGCAGACACACACGGCACACACAGGCTGGCTCCTGACTGGGATGACAGCAGTAACTCAGCAGTGTGCTGTGGCTGCCTTAATCTTGGTGTGCCATACCCCCCCCCGCCTGGTGGGACTGGCAGGTGCCAGACACCCTCCTGTTAGATGGGGACACTGCCCAGGGTCCCACAGTCAGAAGTGGGGCAAGTGGGATTCAGGCCCTGGCAGGCTGTTGAATAGGCTCTTGAGCAAGCTGAAGAGGATAGGGCAGAGGGCCCCAGGCCACACAGTGCTCACCGAGTGGAGCAGGCTGGGCACGTCTCCCTGGAAAGCATGGAGGCACTGGAGCCCATGGGGAAGATGTGGGGTGGAGGGAAGGCCCTGGCCCGTGCTCCCATGTTGGCCTCCGTGGAGACGACCTGTGGTGTCCTGGGGCTTTTGTTTTAACATTTATATTTTTTTGGAAAGGAATGAGACAGAGCTTATATCCACTGGTTCACTCCCCAAACTCCTATGACAGCCAGGACTGGGCCAGGCTGAAGCCAGGAGCCTGAAGCTCCATCCAGGTCTCCCATGTGGGAGGCAGGGACCCATGTTCTGACATTGTCTGTGGCCTCCGTCCCGGGGTGTGTATTGGCATGCAGCTATGAGGCTTCAGGCCTGAGACGCAGGCCCTGGGCCACCTTGGCCGCGGCAAACAAGCAGAGCCTGGCACTGTCCACTCGGGCCCCCAGGTCCCTCCTGCGGTCTTATCTCTGCTGCCTTCTGGGGCCCTGGGTGGTTTAACTCCCCCACCCCACCCTGGCCATGTTTGATACTTGTCCCTGCATCTGTTAGGCGGATGGCCAATCTGGCTCCAGAGCTACTGGTGAGGTCCCCCACACTGGTCACTGGGTGGGGTGGGGGTGGCCTCCCCAAACCAGAGGCTCCCTGACCAGGCCTTAAGGAGCACCCCACTGAGACGCCCACTGGTTCCACACTGAATCTCCCCCGCTGTGGGGTCTCCTTAGGGTTCAGTGAGATCATCAGCCCAGGGGGACCCAGGCTGTGCTGCTTCCCCTGCCTGCCTGCTCCCAAGCCCCGGCCGCGGTGGCACTTACAGCGAGCTCAGCCTGTGTCAGATAGTCTGTGTCGCTTTATGGTGCCAGGGTGGGTGTGGGAGGCAGGAACAGCCTAGGAAGGAAACTCCAGTGATTGTAAGCAGAGAAATTTGGTTTTTTTTTTTTTTAAAGATTTATTTTTATTATTATTTTTTTTATTGGAAAGGCGGATATACAGAGAGGAGAGACAGAGAGGAAGATCTTCCGTCCAATGATTCACTCCCCAAGTGAGCGCAACGGGCCGATACTATGCCGATCCGAAGCCAGGAGCCTCTTCTGGGTCTCCCACGCGGGCGCAGGTTCCCAAAGCCTTGGGCCGTCCTAGACTGCTTTCCCGGGCCACAGGCAGGGAGCTGGAAGGGAAGCGGGGCTGCCAGGACTAGAACCGGCGCCCATATGGGATCCCGGGCGTGCAAGGCGAGGACCTTTAACCACTTGCGCCACCGCGCCGGGCCCATGTTTTTGTTTTTTAATGTAGAGTGACAAAGATGGAGCTAGTGAGTTAGAAATCTTTTCATTTTCACCCAACAGCCAGGGCTTGTGCAGGTGAGGCCAGGAGCCTGGAAGTCCGTCCAGGGCCCCCTCCTGCTCTGCCCTGCGCTAAGCTGGCCCAAGAGGCCGGCCAGCCAGGCCAGCCCTGTCACCATCCTTCTCTCTGGGCACTGGGCCCCGTTAGAGCCTCAGCCTTGGGTCTCACCCCAGCCTGCAGACACGCTCTCCGCCTCCCCCCACTCCAAGTCCCACTGGTTTTCAGCAGGGTCCGAGGGGGCCAGCGGGATCCCGTGGGTGTGCCTGTTGGTCAGGGCTGGCTGCAGGTGTGGGCAGCCCCACGTGTGTGCATGGCAGTGTTGTGTGTGGTGCTGGGGGAGGGCTGGGTAAGGTGGCTGGCTAGGGCTGCCTCTGACCTGGCTCCGGGCCCTCCTCTGTCTCCAGGGGCCTGGTTCTGGACGGACGACATGGAGGACCATGAGGACGAGGATGATGAGGACTTCCTGGCAGAGGTGGCCGAGGAGGAGAATGAGCCCCCAGGGCTGTGGTCTGCAGCCTATGGTGTGGGAGATGTGCCTGGGACTTGGGGGCCTGATGACTCGGATCCAGCACAGACTCCGGAGAGGTGGGGACCCGACCCTGGCGACCTCGGGGTCCTGCCTGAGGGGCCTGCAGCTAAGCGCTTCCTGGCCATGCGGGAACCCGGTGCAAACCTGCTGGCGCCGTGGGCGTTCCCCGCCACGGTGGCTGCCCAGGCGGGTCGGCCGGAGACCACATGTGAAGTGTGCGGCAAAGTGTTCCCGCACCGCTCGCGGCTGGCCAAGCACCAGCGCTACCACGCCGCTGTCAAGCCCTTCGGCTGTGATGAGTGCGGCAAGGGCTTCGTGTACCGCTCCCACTTGGCCATCCACCAGCGCACACATACTGGCGAGAAGCCCTTTCCGTGCCCGGATTGCGGCAAGCGCTTTGTCTACAAGTCGCACCTCGTCACGCACCGGCGCATCCACACCGGTGAGCGGCCCTACCGCTGCGCCTTCTGCGGTGCGGGCTTCGGGCGCCGCTCCTACCTGGTCACTCACCAGCGCACGCACACGGGTGAACGGCCCTACCCGTGCCCGCACTGTGGACGCAGTTTTAGCCAGAGCTCCGCGCTTGCGCGGCATCAGGCGGTGCACACGGCCGACCGGCCGCACTGCTGCCCGGACTGTGGCCAGGCCTTCCGCCTGCGCGCCGACTTCCAGCGCCACCGGCGTGGAGGCAGCTGCACCGAGCCCGCCGCTGGCAGCGGGGAAGGCCCTCTGCGGGAGAACTCGGAAGCACCGCTCAGGGTGGGTTCCCAGGAAGCCGAAGCCGTGCCTGAGGCAGCTGAGGAGCCTGAGGCTGGCGAGTCGGGAGAGCCAGAGGCCGAGGAGACGCCCACCCCGGCAAGCAAGGAGGACTCCGAGCAGGACAGGCGATTCCCCGGCCTGGGCAACGGCCTGGGCGAGGTTCAAGGCCCTTCCTCGCACCCGCTCGGCTTCCACTTCCCGGGGCATCCCAAGTCCTGGCTCCCCCCAGATGGTTTCCCCATTCTTGGCCTCCCCAATTTTGGGGAGCGGGTCCCAGGCGACAGACGTCCCCTGGCAGGGCCGCTGTCGCTGGTGGAGGGCACGGGGCTGGCCTGCAGCACCTTCAGCAGCAGAGGTGGGACTGGGAGTGTTGGCGGTGGCCTGCGTGCCTTCGGGCCGGCCGTCGGGGGGCTGCTGGCTGAGCCGGCACCTGCCGCGCTGGCGGAGGAGGAGAGCCCGTGGATCTGCTCGGACTGCGGCAAGACGTTCGGGCGCCGTGCGGCGCTGGCCAAGCACCAGCGCTACCACGCGGGCGAGCGGCCTCACCGCTGTGCCGACTGCGGCAAGAGCTTCGTGTACGGCTCCCACCTGGCGCGCCACCGGCGCACGCACACGGGCGAGCGGCCCTTCCCGTGCCCCGAGTGTGGTGCCCGCTTTGCCCGCGGCTCGCACCTGGCAGCGCACGTGCGCGGCCATACCGGCGAGAAGCCCTTTGTGTGCGGTGTGTGCGGCGCGGGCTTCAGCCGGCGGGCGCACCTCACTGCCCACGGGCGCGCACACACCGGCGAGCGGCCCTATGCGTGCGGGGAGTGCGGTCGCCGCTTCGGGCAGAGCGCGGCGCTAACGCGGCACCAGTGGGCACACGCCGAGGAGAAGCCGCACCGCTGCCCCGACTGCGGCAAGGGCTTTGGCCACAGCTCGGACTTCAAGCGGCACCGGCGCACGCACACGGGCGAGAAGCCGTTCCGCTGCGCCGACTGCGGCCGCGGCTTCGCGCAGCGCTCCAACCTGGCCAAGCACCGGCGCGGCCACACGGGCGAACGGCCCTTCCCGTGCCCCGAGTGCGGCAAGCGCTTCTCGCAGCGCTCGGTGCTCGTGACGCACCAGCGCACGCACACCGGCGAGCGGCCCTACGCCTGCGCCAACTGTGGCCGCCGGTTTTCACAGAGCTCGCACCTGCTCACCCACATGAAGACACACCGCGGCTCGGCTGGTGCGCCTGGCCAGACGGCAGCTCCCACGTCCAAGGCTGAGGCACCTGCTAAGGCACCTCCAGTCACCGCCGCTAGCACTGGGTTAGGTGAACACGGCAGTACCCTGCTAGAGTTTGCGGGTGGCACGAGCTTCGGCTCGGAGCCTCCGTCTGCGTTTGCGGGGCCCTCAAGCGCGTACGAGGAGAGCATCCTGTGAGGTGCCAGTGGCCCACGGAAGTGCAGGCCACCAGGGCCGCCTCAGGCACAGGCCGCTGCGTCCCAGGCCCTGGCTTGTTCGGCCGTGGGAGGGTGAGGGTTCCAGTCCTGGGTGTGGTGCCTTGTCTCGGTTCCCAGCACCCTGCGTCCGCCCCGTGGCCTTGGGGATCCCTCCTACCCTGTGCCAAAGGATGGGGAGGTGGGGCAGCGCACACAGGTGGTGAGGCTGGGATGCCGGAAGGAGACTGACTGACAGTGTTGGCCATGGCAGGCAACACTATTTATTGTAACCATTGTTGGTGTGGGCAGCCGGTGGGGACAATGAGGAATGCGTGTGTGAGGGAGGAGGGAAGCCGGGGTGCAAGGCCAGCGGGGTAGTGGGGGAGAGCGCCCAGCTGCTGGGGTTGCGGAGGTTCAGAGAGTTCAGGGCTGTCTGCAGGGGAGGGCTGCTGTGGCTGTTGGCCATGGATGCTGTTCCTATTTTGCGTGGGGTGTGAAAGGCCTGGGAGGAGAGAAAGCCAGATGTCAGGTTTGTGGCCAGTGCAGGTAGTTGCAGGGGCACCCCAGGGGGTTAGGACCCCTGCCCTGATTAGTGCAAAAGTCTGAGCCGCTGTGGCAGCTGGATATGACCTGCTTAGCCACCCCAGAGCGCCCAGCCCTGGGTGTCTACACCCGAGCCACCCCCAGTGCCCCGCAGCTGTGTTGGCTGAAGGATTTTACTCCCTGTCATGTCAGCAGCAGGTTCCTTTAGCTCTGCTCCTGTGTTTGTGCACAGGGGAAGCCAGAAGCAGTCTTTTCAAGTTTAGATTCACTTTACCCGGATGCGTAGTGGGACCACCCATGAGTAGAGGGACTTGAGCCCCAGGCTCGCTAATAAATGATCTGTGCAGACCACCTCACCTCTCTCTTCGGGTCAGGAACCGTGACTGCATTCCCTTGTAGACCTAGTTCTCTCTTAGTGTAGACACGGCCCTGGGGGCTGAGAGCCACAGGCAGGCTGTCAGGGGCTGGGGAGGGGCGGAGGTGCCGTGTAGTCAGTCTGTTGGTGGGTGGGAGGAGGGTCAGGGTGGTGGTGGTGAGAATAAGCCCAGCTGGTGAAGTTGGGGGGTGGGGTGGTGAGGAGGGCCGCACGGTGCCTGACTTCCTGAGTTTCCCGGTGTTACCTGAACCTCGGAAGGGCCGTGGACTGGAGGGGCCTCGGGTGTCCCAGCTGCTGCTGTTGCCCTGTCCGGCACTGGAGGGGCCTTGGGTGTCCCAGCTGCTGCTGTTGCCCTGTCTGGCGCTGTAGGGGCCTCAAGTGTCCCAGCTGCTGCTGTTGCCCTGTCCGGCACTTGTGGGCAGGAGGACTTAGCTTTAATAAAGAACGGAGAAATGAGACTTCCCGTGAACTTTGTGCTGTTGCCATCCGTGCCCACCATTGCCCCATGTTCCCTGTGCTGGGAGTTCAGAGATCCACACCTGAGCCTCTGAGGCTGTAGTGCCATGGAGTCTGTCCGCTGCTCACCTGCCACAACACCAAGGCAAGCTCCCGAGCCCCAGGGTGCTCCACACACCTGCCAATACTCACGTATTGGCTCTTTTTCTTCTCCAACCCTCCAGTACCCACGTGGTTCCAGTCTGCCCATCCTTTTCCTAAAGATTGGGAAGAAATCTATGATGGAGTAACTTTCCAGGTATGACTGGGAAGCAGCGTACCAGAGCAACCTGCTGTTTCAACTTGAAAACCGCAGCCACCAGGTGTGTGGGTGGCAGGTGGGCATCTAGGCCTGGTTGAAGGTTGTTGGTCTTGGGCTCAGGAAAGCCGAATGGTTCCTGGGAGGGCTTACCTGGTATATGGACCCCCAGCCCTGCAGGCATACCAAACAGATGATATCTTAAAGGCAGACAGAGGGGAAATTTCATCTGCTTGTTCACTCCACAAATGTCTGCAACAGCCAGGCCTGAGCCAACCCAAAGCCAGGAGTTTTCTGGGTCTCCTGACGTGGGTGGTAGGGCCCCAGGCACTTGGGCCATCTTCCAATGCTTTCCCAGATGCATTAGTTGGGATCTGGATCAGAGATGGAGCAGGCATGGTTTGAACCCGTGTGCTTATGCAATGCTGGCATGCAAGCAGGGGCTTAACCTTGCGGTGTCACATGCCAGCCCCTGGAAATGTCTTACAACTTGGAAGGAACCTCTCGTGTTCTCCTATAAACTGCCTTTTCCCTCCCTGCCAAACAGCTCCCTTGTTCCTTTGACACTCATGAGTGTGCCAGGACTGCTGTGACCGACTCTCGCAGAGGTGCGTGTGTGGTAATTTCCAGCTGCTCACTGCAGACACCGCTGTGACAGGCCTTCTCTCACACTCCTAGGCAGATGTTTGCTGCCGGCAGAGTCACTGGGTTAGCAGGCCCGCTGGTGCAAATGTTGGGGTGGAGCAGAGTCATCACCAGGCACAACTGACTCAAGTCCAACAGCTGCAACTCCAGGCGACTCAAGATAGTGTCTTCAACCCTGGGCGTCAGTAGTCATTAAACATTTTGTTTTTCTTTAAACATTTGAAAGAGAGCTCCCTTCTGCTGATTCCCTGCTCAGAGGCCCATGAGCAGGGGCCAGGTCTCCCACTCAGGTGGCAGGACACCAGTTCCCCAAGCCATCACCATTAACCTCCCCAGGACAGATGAGTGGGAAGCTGGCATCAGGAGTCGGGGCTGGGCGCTGGACCCAAACCCTCTGATTTCAGATGCAGTTGCCATCACCAGCACCTTTGCTGCCAAGCACAACTCCCCTCCCTCCACAGCTGCTGGAACCTGTGCCCTGTTCTGCACATCGCACAGGTGAGTGGCTTGCATTTCCCTGCTGCTTTCGTTTCACATACAAATGGGGAACGTTAAAGACTCAGGCCTTTGCTTAGGTACCTCTGCCTCTGCTGATAGGGAGATCTCCCCAGGCGTGTCCACACCCAGGCATGTCCACACCCCAGGCGCGTCCACACCCCAGGAGCGTCCACACCCCAGGCACGTCCACACCCCAGCCTCGTCCACACCCCAGCCTCGTCCACACCCCAGCCTCGTCCACACCCCAGCCTCGTCCACACCCCAGGCACGTCCACACCCCAGCCTCGTCCACACCCCAGGTGCGTCCACACCCCAGCCTCGTCCACACCCCAGGCACGTCCACACCCCAGCCTCGTCCACACCCAGCCTCGTCCACACCCCAGGCACGTCCACACCCCAGGCACGTCCACACCCCAGGCGTCCACACCCCAGGCGCGTCCACACCCCAGCCTCGTCCACACCCCAGCCTCGTCCACACCCCAGGCACGTCCACACCCCAGCCTCGTCCACACCCCAGGCGCGTCCACACCCCAGCCTCGTCCACACCCCAGCCTCGTCCACACCCCAGGCGCGTCCACACCCCAGGCGCGTCCACACCCCAGGCGCGTCCACACCCCAGGCGCGTCCACACGCCAGCCTCGTCCACACCCCAGGCGCGTCCACACCCCAGCCTCGTCCACACCCCAGCCTCGTCCACACCCCAGCCTCGTCCACACCCAGCTCGTCCACACCCAGCCTCGTCCACACCCCAGGCGCGTCCACACCCCAGCCTCGTCCACACCCCAGGCACGTCCACACCCCAGCCTCGTCCACACCCCAGCCTCGTCCACACCCCAGGCGCGTCCACACCCCAGTCAGCATTCCCATCTTCTGTTGGACTGCACCTCAGTGTTTCTCACTGGATCCCTGGGAAGTGCAGCCCAGGTGGGCGCCGTGGAAGAGTTCGGACAGTATAAGCACCTCCTCTCCCCGAGTCCTTGCTGCCAGGAAGCCCCATGGGGGTCAGGCAGGCAACCAACCTCATGGGTTCCACATTTACGTCTCCATGCTGGACAGTCCGGGAAGCTGGTGGGGCAGGCATATTCCCCTGGCAGATGTGATGGGCGATGTTTTCTCCAGGGTCTCAGATGCTTTGGGTGACACCACGTTGGTCCTTCTCCATGGAGACCACAGAAATGTTTCCTGCCAAGCTCCTATGAGCACTGGGATCCCCAACCCATGGGACGACCTCTTGCAGGTTCTCGGTTTGTGGACAGAGGTGAAGTGGATGCAAGGTCAAAGGAACTGTTTCTGGGACCACAGTGCAGCGCCCCCCACTAGCTGAGCCCCAGGTGGAATCCTGTGTTCTCCTTGCCAGCACACCCGGGAAGCAGCAGAAGCTGGCCTGAGGGCTCAGGCCCTGGAACCTGTGTGGGAGACCCAGGAGCAGGTGAAGGTTCCAGGCTCTGGGGGAGTGACCCAGTGGATGGAACATCTTTTTTCTTTGTTGCTCTGCCTTTCAAATAGTTCAGTTATGTATTATTTATTTATATAGTGTGTTCACATGCCACCATCTTAGTCTAGTTACAGAAACACCCAGCGCACAAGGAGCCCCTGTATTCCTCCTACCCCCTTGCACGATCCCAGTCAACCACTATTTTCCGTGTGGATTTGCCTGTTCTGGGCACTTGAGTTGGCTGGAATCATCATGTAACAAGTGAGCACTGGGGGCAGACAGTCTGTTAATGACATATTTTCAAAGTTTGGCTGTCCATAGCAAACAGTACTTCCTTTTCGTGGTTGTGTAATATTTTGGTTCCCCCATGTGGGGTGGGTTCTAAGGCTTTGGACCATCTTCTATTGCTTTTCCAGGCCATAAGCAGGGAGCTGGATGGGAAGTGGAGCAGCCGGGACAGGAACAGGTGTCCATATGGAATCCCACTGTATACAAGGAGAGGATTTAGCCATTGAGCCATTGTGTTAGACCCTGGGTCACTTTGTAAAGTGGGACTGGACCAGGTTAAAGCCAGGAGCTGCAAACTTGGAGCATAATTCCAAGATCACCTGTGAGTAGCAGGGAACCAAGTGTATGGGTCATCATTTCTGCCTCTCAGGACGCACACCAGCAAGGTTAGGAACAAAGCCAGGCCTTTAGCACCGGAAGCCTCTGCCCGACCTCGCCCTGACTTCTGCAGGTGCTCACGGGGCAGGCACCACACCTGGGATTCCCAGAGGAACATGAGTGGGTGACCTCAGAAAGTGGCATTTGAACAGTGGGAGTAAGCGTTCACTGCGGGAGCTGCTGTTTAGGCTGCCTGGAGCTGGGACAAAATTGGGAGAAAAATTTAAAAAAAAGCCAAAGTGAGTTTGAGTTTGGTGTTTTGGCAAATGTGAAAGCTGTTGTGAATGTCAGAAGTGACTGAGATGAATAAAGCCCATGCAGAAAAGTCAGAGTTTGTGAACAAAGACGGTTGCTGAACAAGTTGCTAGAGTAACCTTCAGAGTCGGCTGGACCAATGGGTGAAGGCAAGAGCAGGGTGAAGTACCTCCCTACAATGGTGGCATCCCAGCATCCCGTGTGGGCTCTAGTCTGTGACCCAGCTGCTCCACGTCCTTCCCACCACCTGTGGATGTTCCTGGGGTAAGAACAGAAGAGGGCCCAAGTGCTTGGGTCCCTGCATCCAGTGGGGGTCTTGGATGAGGCTCCCCTGCCCTGGTGGTTCTGGCCATCCGGGAAGTGACTGAGCAGATAAAGATCTATTTCTCTATATAAATCTTCAGAGAAAAAGTAAATATTTGCATGCCAAAAATCACTGACAGAAGCATCTGTTGCTCTAGGCTCTGGAGGGCGAGTGCTCACTGGTTGAACTGACAAGTAGTATCCTTGAAATATTTGGGCTCATAATATAGTGACAATATTTGCACACATTCCTGACTGTGCAGGAGTGCCAGACTCGCGGCTGGACACAGGCACACTCCAGTCACCCCGGGCTGGGTCGGGGTGTTGGGCTGGGGGCAGGGGAGGCGCATGGGTGGGGTGGTGGGTGCCGTGGGGGGCAGGGGAGGCGCATGGGTGGGGTGGTGGGTGCAGTGGGGGGCAGGGGAGGCGCATGGGTGGGGTGGTGGGTGCCGTGGGGGGCAGGGGAGGCGCATGGGTGGGGTGGTGGGTGCCGTGGGGGGCAGGGGAGGCGCATGGGTGGGGTGGTGGGTGCAGTGGGGGGCAGGGGAGGCGCATGGGTGGGGTGGTGGGTGCAGTGGGGGGCAAGGGAGGCGGCCTGCAGCAGGGCCCGGGAGGGGGCGTGGCCGGGGCGTGGCGCGCGGGGAGGGGCGTGTCCAGCCGCCCGGGCCCCGCCCCCGCGGCCGGGCCCTGTGCGCAGGCGCTCGTTCTCCTCAGCGAGGCGGCGCCGGGGGTCGAGGCCTACTCGGGCGTGGTCGCGCGTGGGGTTGGCGCGTGTGGCCGGCGGGCGCTGCGGAGGGGGTCGCGGGCGCCGAAGCTCTGTGAGGGCGGGAACCGAGGACGGAACGAAACCGCGCCCGTCGGACCGCCTTCCGCGGCGTGTGGAGGGGGTGGGGGGCGTCGCCGTCGGGGTCCCTCGTCCCCCTCACAGCCATCCCCGCGCGGCCGTGGCCTGCGCGTGAGGCCTCGCAAGGTTCGCGTCCCGGGGGTCGGCTCCGCCGAGGTGGTCGTGGCGCGTCCGGCCAGTGGACGGCCGCAGCCCGGCCCGAGGAAGGTTCGAGATAAAAGTGAGTCTGTTCCCCGTGCTCTGCTGCAGGGAGGAGGAGGGGGCGGACTGAGAGCTTCGGGACGGGGTCGAGGGCCCAGGTGGGCCTCGTGGGGAAGCTGCTTGCCCGCGGGACATCCTGCCTGCTCTGCTCCAGCCGCTGCCTTGCAGCAGGTGCACCGCGCCCGCCGCCCCGCCGCGTCCCGAGGAAGGCTTGGGGCGGTCTGACTGTGTGTCCACACGTGGAGGCTCCCTGGTCCCCCTCCCCAGCCCTGTGGTTGTACAGGGTCGCGGCTCCCGTGGGCCAGTGACTCAACAGGTGCGGGACCGGCCCGATCTCTCACGTAGGTCCCTCTTTTTCTCCCCTTCCAGGTTTGCTGTGTACCCCGGAGAAAGGCCACCGGGCGGTGGGCAAGCTGTCCCCGGGACGGAGCCGGCCGTGGCTCTGCTGCTTTTTGGTTTTGGTGCCTTTGGAGGAACATTGGGAAATGAGCCAGCCGCTGGTGCGTGGGCTCTTGCCTTCCCTGTTTCGTTTTCCGGGGGGGAGGTATGGCTGTCGGAAGCGCCACGTGTCCACACTAAGGGGGAGTTTGGAAAGCCCTGCAGAGGGGCACCCCTCGGGACAGCTGCGTCCACGGTCGGAGTGTGTGGGCCTGAATGCTGGCTCCAGTTCTGGTTCCGACTTCTGCTGATGCTCAGTGTTGGGGGCCATAGGCGGTGGGGTCCGTGCTTAGCTGTAGGGCAGACCTGGATGTGTCCTTACTCCCGGCTCTGGTGTGGTCCATCCCCAGCTGTTGAAGGCATTCAGGCCGCTGCCTGACCACAGCTGGGAACCTCTGTTCTCTCCTTGTCTGTCTGTGCCTTTTGAGTCATTAAAAAAAAAAAAAGAGGCCACTTCAGGTCGCTGGCTGCAGGCAGAGGTAGCCATGAAGGAGAGTGGGTCTGGGGCCTAGCCAGGCGAGCGGGGTGACAGATTTGTCTGTTCCTTTGACAGCCCACCAGGCCCTCTGAGGACAGGTCCCGCCGGCACTGGGCTCTGGAGTCAGGGACCTGCAGGGGCTTCCGGTGGCCCAGGTGCCCGTTGAGAGTGATGGGCACAGCTGCAGATCATCTGGGCATGATAACATGGGCACTCAGTGGACAGCTTTCTGAACCTGCTCTGTTTTGAGCTTGGGTCGGAACCTAGAACTCTACAGGAGAATGCAAGGGGCAGGCCGTGGGACTGTAACCTGCGTGGCCGAGACAGCACACGCTTTTGGTCAGTTTCTGAACTCTCCGAGGTTTTAGATTGTGATACCATCTAGGTAACACGAACTCTCCCAATATTGTTGTTCAGGAGTGTGTATAATTCAGCAGAATGAATCGTTTTCCCAGTTGTACAGACATCACTGCTTGTTACTCCGCGAAACATTTTCCTCTAACGGCCCCTTACCCAGGGTGAGTGTTTGGTGTGGTGGTTACCTCGATGGTTGCGACTCCTGCATCCCAATGCAGAGGCCTCACTTTGTGTCCAATTCCAACTTCGTGCACGTGTGTACCTTGGCAGCAGCAAGCGGTGGCACAGGTACGCGGGTCCCTGCCATCGCGTGACCTGGAGGGGCTCCTGGCTTCCACCTGGCTCCTCCCCGGCAGGTGTAGGCACTAGGAAAGTGAACCAGCAGATTCAAGACCACGGTCTTTTTCTCTTCCGTTCACCTTTCAAATAAAAATTAATAAAAATTTGAAAACAAAACAAAAGCTTTATTAAGAGTAGTTGCTTGGGTCTAGCACAATGGCTAAGTAGCTAAATCCTCACCTTGCATGCCTGGGAGCCCATATGGGCGCTGGTTCATATCCTGGCTGCTGCACTTCCCATTCAACTTCCTGCCTGTGGCCTAGGAAAGCAGTGGAGGACGGCCCAAAGCTCTGAAACACTGCACCCACGTGGGAGATCCAGAAGAGGCTCCTGATTCCTGGCTTCAGGTGGGCTCAGTTTCAGTTGCAGCTGGGAAAAGAACCAGAGGACAGAGATCTTTCTTTGGTGATTCTGTGTTCTAGTTATGTGACGTGCATGGAATCATGGGGGACTGGTCCTTTGACTAATCAGATTCTCCAGGGTTTGTCCATACAGTGCAGCACTGCTTCATTCTTTCTGATGAGTGAGTGCTTTGCAAATGCGCATGTTGCGTATGCCGCGCTCTGTGCCTCTGTTCCTGTCTCTTGGTCACCGTGAGGAGTTTGTTTTGAGCGCTGGGACGCAGTTGTCTCTGTGCCCATTCATTGTGGTCTGCTGTATGCAGTCTTCTTGTTGCACATCATCTGCTGGCTACGTCCTGATAGAGCTCGGTCATGGGGCAAGCACTGTGGCACCGCGTGTTAAGTTGCCACCTGAGGTGCCCACGTCCTGTGTCCCAGTGCGGAGCCAGGTGCCTCTGCTTCTCAGCTTGTCTCCTGTTAGAGTTCCTGGGAGTGTAGGGGGTGCTGGCCCGGGCAGCTGGCCTCTGCCGCCCCTAGAGGAGAGCTGCGTGGAGTTCCTGGCTCCGGGTTTTGGCCTCGCCCAGCCCTGGTTTTCATAGCCATTTGGGGAGTGAATGAGTAGATGGAAGGTCTGTGGCGTCTTCTCTTTCTGTCAAACAAGCCAAACCTGTGATTTTTTCTTAAACCTAATTTTAACCTTGCAGGAGAGTCCAGGAGATCTTTCCAGAGCTTCTCTTCCTGGGATATTTCACAGTTGACCCACTTTCAGACTCTTGTTTGTGTCTGGCTGCTGCACTGATTCCTTGTTTGCCTTTTGTCCTCTCTCCTTCCTTCCTCCCTGGGTCTGCACCCTGAACTCCCGTCCTTTGCTCTGCCAGGCTTCTCTCGTGCTCTGTGCTCTCTGCAGCCTGGGCTCGGGGCTTCCGGCCTGCGTACCTCCATGCCATCGGGCCACGGGGCCTCCTCTCCCACGGCCCTAGTGTTGGGTTGTTTTATAGGAGCCGGAGCTGGGATCGATTAAATCCCACATGAGGGACGTGGCCATCCTAACCATTAGGCGGTTTTTTAGAGCTATGTTAGTTGTTTCAAAGCTGCTCAGAGTCTGCAGTGGCTTAATCCATAGGGCTGAGCGTCCTGCAGGGCCTTTCTGTTCTGTGGAGGTAGATTTAGCTTCTAATGTTGTTATTACAAAAGGGTGTTGAAGTTCTCAAATGCTTTTTTTCCCCCTAAAGATGTATTTATTTGAAAGATTCAGGGAGATGAAGAGACAGATCTTCTGTCTGCTAGTTCATTTCCAAGATGGCCTTAATGGCAGAAGCTGAGTTGATTTGAAGCTAGGAACTTCTTTGGGGTCTCCCACGTGTGTGCAGGGGCCCTTCTTCCCCACTGCTTTTGCTAGACCACTAGCAGGGAGCTGGGACACAAAGTGGCATCCATATGGAATGTTGGCACTAGCAGTGGAAGATTAACCAGTTAGGCCATCACACCAGTCCCAGTTGTTCATTACTCTTAAACGGATGTTGATTGAATCGTATATATTCATATTATGTCCTGTGATCATCTTAAATTCATTCTGGTGGCTTTTGCAGTTCTGTAGGATTTTCTCCGTAGATGAGGCCATTTGCAAGGTTTTCTGATTTGTAGTGTGTGTTATTTACTGCATTGACTAGAACCTTTAGTAAAGTGCTAAATGGGAGTGGTAAAATGTGTCATCTTTGATGATGATGATAATGATTTGAGAGGAAGAAAGACAGGTAGAAAGAGAAAGGGGTAGTGAGCTCCCATCTGCTGATTGGCACCTCAAGTGCCTGTCATAGCCAGGGCGTGACTGGGCCAAAGCCTGCAGCAGTAACTCACTCTGGGTCTCTTACTTAGGTTATCGGGGACACAGTTACTTGAGCTGTTCACCGCTGCCTCTCAGGGTCCCCATTAGTGGGAAGCAAGGTCAGGAGCTAGAGCGCTGTATCCCTGCCAGGCACTCTGAGCTGCGCCGTGGAACCCTGAGCTGCGCCATGGACACCCTGAGGTGCGCCGTGGACACCCTGAGGTGGGCCGCAGGCATCCCAGCATCCTAACAGGCAGGACTTTTGTTCTTTCATTCTGAAAATAGAAATGGAACAGCACTAGGCTTTTTTTTTTCTTTCCTTCCTTCTTTTCTTTTCTCTTCTCTTTTCTTTCTTTCTTTCTTTCTTTCTTTCTTTCTTTCTTTCTTTCTTTCTTTCTTTCTCTCTCTCTCTCTCTCTCTCTTTTAAAAGATTTATCTTTTTATTGGAAAGGCAGATCTAAAGAGAGAAGGGGAGAGAGAGAAATATCTTCCATTGCTGGTTCACTCCCCAAGTGGCTGTAATGGCCAGAGCTGAGCCATTCCAAAGCTAGGAGCCAGGAGCTTCTTGTGGGTCTCCCTTGCAGGTCCAGGGTCCCAAGGCTTTGGGCCATCCTCTACTCCTTTCCCAGGCCACATGCAGGGAGCTGGTTGGGAAGTGGAGCAGCCGGGATACAAATCGGCACCCATATGGGATCCTGGCACATGCAAGGTGAAGACTTTAGCTGCTAGGCTACCACACCAGGTCCAGCACTAAGCCTTTGACAGTTTCTGTGATTACAGCCATAGATTTTTTTTTTGTGTGTGTGTGAATGCCTTTTATCTAGTTAAAAAAATTTATTCCTGGGTCTGATGCTATGGCATGGTGGAACTCAAAACCAGTGCCCATGTGGGATGCTGCCTTCCCAGGTATCATGACCTGTGTCTCCTTTTATTCCTATATTGTTTCCTGAAATTAATTAATTATTATTTTCTTTCTTTCTTTCTTTAAGAGTAAGAATCAATGTTGGGTATGGCCAAGTAGGTTTTTTCATCTATTGGAAACTTTGGTTCCAATTTCAATTTGTTACTATTGCAGACTATGTTTGGAATGAAATGGGGTGTCTTCTTGTTTCTTTGGATAAGTTTTTTTTTTTTAAAATTTTACTTCTTTTTATTATTATCATTTTATGATACAATTCCATAGACCCTGGGATTTCCCTTATTCCCTCCCCAATTTCCTCCCCCCTCTCCGAGTTCCCCTATATCATTACTATAGTATACTTCTTTATACACAGTCGTATGTCCATCATTGTGGACATGGACAACGGCAGAGAGTCCAATATCCTATTGTCAAGATATAGTAAGCAGTTTCAATGGGAGTCCATCTTTGATCTGGAAGTAGAGATGCATACTGCATTGTATCCTCACATCTGGATCTAATAGTCTCCATTACACAGTTACTATACATCCCCTTAAATGAAAAGCCACAATACAAAATCAACAACAGAAAGGAAAAAAAAAAAGAAATTAACAATGCCATGAAGTTAAATAACATACCACTGAATGACTAATATGCTGCTGAAGAAATGAAAATCAGAAACCTTGAAGAAAATGATGCTACTGTATGATCTATGAGTCATTGAAATCAGAAGAAAGTGTTTTTGTTTTTTTTAAAGATTTATTTATTTATTGGAAAGTCGGATATACAGATACAGAGAGGAGGAGAGACAGAGAGGAAGATCTTCCATCCCACGATTCACTCCCCAAGTGAGTGCAATGGCCAGTGCTGTGCTGATCTGAAGCCAGGATCCAGGAACTTCTTCCAGGTCTCCCACACGGGTGCAGGGTCCCAAGGCTTTGGGCCATCCTCAACTGCTTTCCCAGGCCACAAGCAGGGAGTTGGACAGGAAGTGGAGCTGCTGGGATTAGAACTGGCGCCCATGTGGGATCCAGGCGTGTTCAAGGCAAGGACTTTAGCTGCTAGGCCACACTGCTGGGCCCAAGAAAGTGTTTTGAAGAGATGAAACTAACACAAAAAAAATCAAAACCCATGAGATACAGTTTCTGCTGATCTTTGTTGGTGAAATGTGTCTCCTGTAGAGAACAAATCGATGGGTTTTGTTTTTTAATCCAGTCTACTAATCTGTGATGTTTAATTGATGAGTTTAAGCCATTTACATTCAGGGTTAATAAAATTGATGGTAATTTGGTCCTGTCATTTTAGCAATGGGTTGTTCATTGACTCAAACTTCTGCTCTTATTTTACTGAGATGTTCTTCACATTTACTTTGGCTTTGGTGGACACTATTCCTCTTCTCTGTCAGGAGAACATCTTTAAGTATCCTTTGTAGGGCAGGTTTAGAAGAGGCGTATTCTTTTAATGTTTCTTTACTGTGGAAGAATTTTATTTAATTTTCAAAGACAAAGGAAAGTTTTACTGGGTATGTTATCCTGGGCTGACGTTTTTTTTTTTTGCTTTTAGAATTGGGAATAGGGCCCTGCGCTGTGGCGCAGTGGTTAAGGTCCTTGCCTTGCACGCCCGGGATCCCATATGGGCACCGGTTCTAGTCCCGGCAGCCCCGCTTCCCTTCCAGCTCCCTGCCTGTGGCCCGGGAAAGCAGTCGAGGACGGCCCAAAGCTTTGGGACCCTGCGCCCGCCTGGGAGACCCGGAAGAGGCTCCTGGGTTCGGACCGGCATAGCACCAGCTGTTGTGCTCACTTGGGGAGTGAATCATTGGACGGAAGATCTTCCTCTCTGTCTCTTCTCTCTGTATATCCGCCTTTCCAATAAAAAAATAATAATAAAAATAAATCTTAAAAAAAAAAGAATTGGGAATATGCTGTGCTATTCTTCTTGCCTGTAGAGTTTCCTGTGAGAGATCTCCTGTGAGTTTAATTGGCATTCCTTTATCTATCGGTTGATTTTTTTCCATATGCATGTCTAAGGATCTTTTCCTTATGTTCAATTGAAGAGAGCTTGGTTATCATGTGTCTTGGTGATGATTACTTTTGGTCAACCCTTTTTGGAGTTCTGTGTCCCTCCTGGATCTTGTTTCCTAGTTCTTTCTCTAGATTAGGGAAATTTTCCCTTATTATTTCATTGAATACATTTTAAAACGCATCTTCTCTTTCTGTACCTTCCGGGACTCCCATAACTCTTATATTTGGCCTCTTGATAGTGTCTTTCAGTTCTTGAATACTTTTTTTGGCCTGATCCATCTCTGCTTCCAGCTTTTTGTTTGCTTCCTCCTGATGACAGGAGATATCTTCCAATTCTGAGATTTTTTCTTCTGCTTGCTTCATTCTGTTTTGGAGACCCCACTGTATTTTTAATCTGCTCCATTGTATTCTGAATTTTTGATATATCAGGTGTTATTTGATTCATTTCCAGTGTGACATATACCTTGAATTCCTTGAATGCCTGCTTCATGTGCTTCTCGTTGTTGATAAGAAGTTTTATAACAAATGTTTTGAATTCTGTATCCCCCATTTTCTTGATGTCTTCTGCAGTGAACTCTGAGGTTGGCATAGGGTTTTGCTCCTTTGCAGGGGCGTTTTCAGTAATGTTCATTGTGCCTCTGTCTCTTTTTTTGCTCTTGGTCATTGTACTGCTGGTTGTCAGATTCTGCTCTTTGGGGCAGGTTTCTAAGCTGTGTCACCCACAGGTCTACAGTTTGATTTTACTTATTGCAGTTAGTACACGGCTATTTGTTTGCAGTCCTGGGCAAGTTTAATGTAGAATTGATACTGTGTCCTTTTTTTTTCCTCGGAGATTTATTTATCTGAGAGAAGTTCAGAGAGATAGATCTTCCATCCACAGCTTTACTCCCCAGCTGGCTATACTGGTTGGGCCAGGCCAGTATCAGAAGCAGAGCAGCTGGGACTTGAACCAGCACACAGAGCAGATGCTGGCATCACACATAGCCCTACCAGCCATGCAACAGCGGCAGCCCTGCTGTCTCCATTAGATGCTTGGTGGGCTTCCTCCATGAAGTTGTCTCTGGACAGTGGTGTGGGCAGCTGGCACACCTTCATCCTGTCTCATCACAGCCTCTTGCTGTAGTGCCCCTTGGGAGACAGCTGTGGCAGCATATGCCAGCTGTGTGGGAGACCTCGAGTGGGTTTCAGCACACTCGCTTTGGCAGGGCCAGCTTGGCTCTGTGGGATGCTGAGTGCACTTTCTCTCTTTGTCTCTGCCTTTCAAGTAAGATTTTAGAGCTTTCTTTGTGTGGAGTTTATTAACTACAAATTTGATTTCTTTGCTAGATAATCAGATTGCTTGTTCTTAGTGACCTCTGCTAATGTGTGTCTTCTAAGACATTTTCTGATGTGTTTCAGTTTTTTTTTTAAGATTTGTTTTATTTGTTTGAAAGGCAGAGTTAGGAAATCTTCTGGGGCTAACACCATGACTAATATGTTAAACGTCTGCCTGTGGTGCCTCCATGCCATATGGGTACTGGTTTGAATCCCAGCTGCTCCACTTGTGATCCTGCTCCCTGCTGCTGTGTTTGGGAAAGCAGTGGAGGACGGCCCACGTGCTTGGGCCCCTGCACCCATGTGGGAGACCCGGAAGAAGCTCCTGGTTGCCCCCTTCAGGTCGGCCCAGCTCCGGCCACACAGTTATTTGGGGAGTGAGCCGGTGGGTGAAAGATTGCTCTGGCTGTCTCTCATTTGTAAAGCTGCCTTTCAAATAAAAGCAAATACATCTTAAAAAGAGAAAGATCCTCCATCTCCTGTTTCACTCCTGAATGGCCACAACAGCGAGGGCTGGAGCAGGCTGAAGCCAGAGCGGCCAGGTGCTAAAGCTCCATGCTCGCTGCTTTCTCGGACAGCTTCACAGGGAGCTGGACCACAAGTGGAGCAGCTGGGACTTGAACTGGCGCCCAGACGGGATGCCAGCATCACAGGCAGTGGCTTAACTTGTTTCAGCACAACACTGGTCCCTTCTTTTGTTATTTTTAGCATTTTCTTTCCTTTTTTGTATTTGCCGGATTTCTAGTAATGTTGGCTCTCCTTCCGCATATTGGCAGTTTGTTGTTGCCCCTCTTCTGTTCAGTATTGCTAAAGACTTGAAAGATTAATTGATAATTAAAAGAATACTTTTCTGTTTTGTGTTCTCTTGTTATTTTCTTGTGAGTTCTTAGATGGAGTTCATTCCTTTTCTAGTTTCCCAGGGTGGAAGGAGGGTACGTTGATTGTGGAGTGTCTTAGTGCTGTGAATTTCCTAAGTGTATGGCTTTGTGTCCCACAAATTTTTATATATTGTTTTCATTTTATTCAATTCATTGCTTTTTATTTTAACACTTATTAAAAGTCATAGACAGGGAGAGACAAAGACCTGCCATCAGTGATTCTCTTCATGGTGGCCACACCAGCCAGGGCTGGGCCCAGCTGGGCCTGAAACTCCACACAGTCTCCCGTGTGGCCCCCTGGCTTTGGATCCGCTTGGCTCCAGCCATTTCAAGAGTTCTTTATCATTTATTGTGGTTTCCATGATCTGCTACTTTCTTGGGCACATTGGCAGGGAGTGGAGCAGCTGGTTGTCAAGCTGGCATCTCCGGGATCCGGCCCCTGATCCGCGCTTTGCTCGTGTTACTGTGCCATTAACTGTGTGTTCATGAAGAAGTGTGTGCTGTTCCATGAAGCTCAAGCTGACACTGATGAAGTAGAACTGTGTTTTCCGACGTGATGAGGAAATGCGGGCTGTAGGTGATTCTCTCCTAGCTGTCTTAATACTGCAGAACAGGATAAATGTTCCCGTGATGCACTGCCGCCTTACCGCCTCATAAACTTCTGGGAGCCAAGTTGCAACAGAATAGTAGCTACCTTTGCAGCATTTGTGTTTTTGTTTCATGATGTTTCCTTTGGCCAGAAGTGCACTAAGTTGGTCTGCAAGTGAAGCGTTCCGCATGCGGTGGCGAGGCAGGGCCGCCGAGACGCACACCTGGTTCTCATGACAGACGTGGTAATAATCTGGGGGCTGGTGGGGCCACGTTCCCTATTGCTGTGTGGACATGTACGGCAACAGACAGGAAGAGGAAGGAACCTTCCCCTGTTGGCAGTCACCCCAAAGGAGTGGAGAGATCAGTGATCGACCCAGCTGGGAAATGCTGACTTGTTTCAAACCAGCTCATAAATAATGCCAAGTAAAAGCACTTTGCTAGTAAAAATACTGCATTATTGAAGAAATAAAATACATTTGAAATCTTCAAAAAAAAAGTCAACTCCTCAAAAGTAGACAGAATCAATATTGTCAGGTTTGATATTCCAGCTCAACCAGGACAGTCTCAAGGTGCATGGTGAGAACGTTGTGTTTGAATTAGTAAGGTCATAGCCTGGGTATTTCTGTCATGCACTGTCTTACAAAGTATAAAGTAGCCTGCCTGATCCTTTCTGGTAAAGTTGCCAGGTGCACTGCTAAGTTCTGCCCTCTCATGTCTTCCGTGTTGCCCAGCAGGCTGTTGCTCAGGGCTCTGTGTCGTTCGAGGACGTGGCTGTGGACTTCAGCCAGGAGGAGTGGCTGCAGCTGAGCGGTGTTCAGAGGATGCTGTACCGGGATGTGATGCTGGAGACCTACGGCCACCTGGTCTCTGTGGGTGAGGCGCTGTCTCTGCGTACACCTTACGACGCATCAGTGTTTCCTCGCTTGGAGCTGCCGAGCATTTAATGTGCCTCTCTTGGGTCCAAGATGGTGGGTCCATTGTGGGCACAGTGGAATGTGGTTTGATCGCTCTCACCAGGGGTTCCTTGGGGCACCTGTCATGTGCGTCTGCTGAAGCATCACCTGCCTGTCTCCATGTGTTCACACTCTGACCCTGTGTCTTATTCACAGGCTGCTACATCACCAAACCAGATGTGATCTATAAATTGGAGCGAGGAGAAGAACCGTGGACAGTGGAAAGAGGACTCGCAGGCCAGACTTGCTCAAGTGAGTTGGTGATTACCAGGCTAAATAAGGAAGCCTGTGGCAGTGAGGCCCGGTGGGTCGGCTCGGGCTTTGGGCCCTCACACTGTCCCAGTGTTTTCTGTGTGAGGACCTCAGAATTGTTTTTTTTTTTTTTTCCAAAGATTTATTTTTTATTTTTATTGGAAAGTCAGATATCCAGATATCAGAGAGGAGGAGAGACAGAGAGAAAGATCTTCCGTCCCATGATTCACTCCCTAAGTGAGCGCAATGGCCGGTGCTGAGCCAATCCGAAGCCAGGAGCCTCTTCCGGGTCTCCCACGCGGGTGCAGGGTCCCAAGGCTTTGGGCCGTCCTCCACTGCTTTCGCAGGCCACAAGCAGGGAGCTGGATGGGAAGTAGAGCTGCTGGGATTAGAACTGGCGCCCACATGGGATCCCGGCGCATTGAAGGCGAAGACTTTAGCCTCTAGGCCACGGTGCCGGGCCCACATTTGAAAGTTTTGCTGTAGTTTCTCTAGAATCCTTATTGTACATTGTGTGGGCTCTTCCCTTCCTGCTCTCTGCCTCTGGTATTAGTTTTCATTGTGCAGCTGTTCACTGCAGGACTGCTGAGTGCCTCTAAGGCCGTGACGGTGAGCCAGACATTCTCAGCTCTCAGCTTGGCAGGCTTCAGTTACTGAGTCAGGTTTTATTTATTTATTTATTTTTTGGTAAATATGTATTTTGGGCCCGGTGCAGTAGCCTAGCAGCTAAAGTCCTTGTCTTGCACACTCTGGGAACCCATACGGGCACCAGTTTTAATCCCGGTGGCCCCACTTCCCATCCAGCTCCCTGCTGTGGCCTGGGAAAGCAGTGGAGGACGGCCCAAAGCCTTGGAACCCTGAACCTGTGTGGGAGACCTGGAAGAAGCTTTGGGTCTTCTAAGCTTTGGATTAGCCAGCTCTAGCTGTTGCGTCACTTGGGGAGTGAATCAGTGGGTGAAAGATCTTCCTCTCCGACTCTCCTTTTCTCTGTAAATCTGCCTTTAAAATAGAAAAATTTCTTAAAAATCTTTTTTTTTTAAATAGAGGATTTTCCAGAGTATAAATGCTAATTTTTGCTACTATTGAAGCAAAACAGTTTCCCCTGAGTCTGCGATGAAGCCGGGTCTGAGCCTGATGGACTTGAGCCCAGTTGCTTAGCCTGCTCTGCCCTCCAGGAGATGTGATCTCTAGGGGTTCCCTTCAACCAGGATTCCCACAGGGAATAGCCCTGGAATTGGGAGCCAAAATGTGGAAACACAGTAGTAAGCTCAAATAAAATAGAATCACTGGAACTGGGGATGGCACTGTGCTGTGGGTAAAGCTCCCCCCGGGACACAGTGTCTCCTCTGGCTGATGTTTTGTGTCCCGTTTGCTGCACTTTGGTCTCTGGTCGTGCCTGTGAGAACCAGTGAAGGATGGTGCAAGCTTGTGCCCCTGTCACCCAGGCGGGAGGCCGGCTGCCACTCCAGGCTCCTGGCTCCTGGTGTTAGTGAAGCAGCCCTGGGCGGTGCGGGTCCCTGGGGCTGGAACAGCAAAGGGAGCATCTGTTCCGCGCCCTGTGGTGCTCGCTTTCGCCTGTGAGAACCGACAGAATTAAAGCTTGAAAGAAAGACTTCAGATGCCCGGACTATGAGATGTGAATATTGAAGTTTCTGTGGAGGAACGGTGTCCCTGCGCAGCCAGAGCGCCTGCGAAGGCCACGAGCTTTCCCGGGGCCTGCCTTCCGTGCGGCACTTGCTCTGTGCTTGTGGCAATGCGGAGATGCTGTGTCCTGTTGCCATGGGAGAATGAAGAGCCCATAGCCAGCTCCGCACAGGTGGGAATCACCCGTGTGAGCGAAGCTGGCCAAGGCGAGGTTCTGTAAATGGAGAAAATGTTATCCGTTGAGCAAGAGTCCTTCAAAATCCGTTTAAGACGTGGATGTTTAAGACTTACAGACACAAACACAGCGGAGTAGGTTCATAACCCTGAACTCCGATGCCCAGGGAATAGATCGTAGAGCAGGAGAGGATTTCCCGAACAGCTCAGAAGTTCCTTGCTCTTCGCACCGTGACGCCAGGCGGGCGCGCACACGGTCGGTCTCTGCTCCAGGAACGCACTGGCCGTCTCCGCACTGCTTCCCCACGCGTCCGCTGCTGAGCCTCAGCCTTTGCTTTGCGAGAGGAGTTAAAGTCTGCCACTTCCTCTGACTTCCTCTCCTCTGCACTCTTCATTTTACTTGAGCTGTTACAGTCCTTATTGTCAGAATGGCAAATAACAACTTTGCAATAATCTTCCCCAAATTATAAATCCGCGTATTCCTTATCTCTGCTTAATTAGGCTCCAGTTTTCTTCCATGTTTGACAACTGTGACATCATCGTATATCCTGTTCATCTCAGTTCCTCCTCGCTTTCACTTTCCTTTGGAAACCCTTACCAAACCTGTTCTACCAGGGCTTAGTGACTGCCCCATAACCTCAAGCATCCATGTGTTCCCACCAACATTCCGTGAACGTGCAGTTGCCCTGTATCTTGAGTCATCTGTTTAACACAAACACCGTGCCAGCCGGTGGCCGTCTCTTGTTCACTGAGTTAGGGACGCTGTGTCAGGCGTGTGCCTTGTGAGATGGACGCGTGCTGTCTGTGAGACCGCCTTGCCTCTGCAGTGTACGTTTTACCTGCTGGCACGCAGGGATTGTTTGTTCCAGCCTCCATTGGCCCCCGGGATGTCTCCTAACCACCCCTTCCTCTCACTTCTCGTTTTCTCCACTCTCTGTCCATAGCTGTTGCCAGTTTACTGTGTTTCCTTGCTCTGAGCTCTTAGTTCCAAGCACTGAATTTCTTCTCGGCTTTGAAGGTCATGTTTGAGGCGGCAGGTGTGTGTTCATCGTTATCTTTCATCTCCCATTTCTACGCTAGCACAGGCTTCTCGGCTTTGCATTTTCTAAAGTGGAGACATGTACCAGGCTTTCCTGCAAGGAGGCTGGGCCTGAAAGTGGGCAGTCAGTGATGAAGTTAACCATGCTTATGTAAAAAGTGTGTTTATACTTTTAAAATACATTTAATTTTTCTCATTTCCAGAAGTCCAACAGTTAAATGACCTAATAAAGAGAAGCCGGGAACGCCTGGGTCGGCCTGCTTCGTGTGCGTCCCTCAGCACCGCACTGTCTGCGGAGAGTGTTTCGGAGGACACGGTTAATCTGCATACGAACTTGGTTCCTTCAAGGAAAGCACCTTGTCCGTCGGACTCCTGCGGAGTGAGTCAAAAATGCATGTCAGGATCGAGTGTTAGTGACAAGAATCATTCACGTCAGAACTCTGGTGGTACTAACGGAGGCTCGGCGGTGCCTCTTGGTGATCAGGACAAGGTGCCAACCGGGGAAAAGGCTGATGGGCACTGCCTGCGCAGGGGGGCTCTGCATCCTCGTGACCAACAGCGAGTTCCTGCTTCTTTGGAGCCACCTGCAGGAGATAGTTCAAGTGCAGAGGCCTTCCCTGAGCAGACAGCCATCAACACGTGTGAGTGGGTTCTCCGAGAACAGACATCGCGTGGGTCTAAGAAACCTGGGGACCCTCCCTGTGGCAGGTCAACTCCTGAAGTCCAGCATAATTCTCACACAAAGGAGAACCATTCTGAAGTTAATGAGTGTGGGAACTCAAAGCTCCTTAGACATCAGGAAGTTAGCACGGCGGGGAAAACTCATGAGGCCGGTGGAAATGAGAATGTCGTCAGGGAGCTGCACCTCACCCGGCCTGTTAGCGTTCACACGACAGAGAGGAAAGCCTTCAAGTGTAGTCACTGTGAGAAATCTTTCTGCCAGAAGTTCCTTCTCACTCAGCACCAGAGGACACACACAAGAGAGAGACCACGTGAGAATGATCAATGTGGAAAAACTCCTCAGAAACCGCGATCTACTGGTTCTAAGAGCAGCAGCCTGGAAGAGCACGCCAGTGGACACAGGGAAAGTGTCACAGCCCCTGCGAAGGCAGGCCGTGAAAGTCGCCAGAAAATTCAGTCAGGAAAGAAGCTCTGTGTGTGTGATGAGTGTGGGAAATGTTTTCGTCATAACTCAGCCCTAAAAATCCACCAGAGGATTCACACGGGGGAGAAACCCTATCAGTGCAGTGAGTGTGGGAAATCCTTCTATGCGCAGTCCAACTTCAATCTCCACCGGAGGACACACACAGGGGAGAAACCTTACGAGTGTAAGGAATGTGGGAAAGCCTTCTGTGTGAAGTCAAACCTAACAAAACACCAGAAAACCCACACAGGAGAGAAACCTTTCAAGTGCGATGAATGTGGGAAAACTTTCTACCAGAGGTCCCAGTTTGAAGACCATCAGAGAACCCACACAGGGGAGAAACCATATGAATGTAATGAGTGTGGAAAGTCCTTCTACTACAAATCAACCCTAAATGTCCATCAGGGCAGGCATAAAGAAGAGAAACCCCACAAATGCACCGAGTGTGGGAGATCCTTTTGCTATAAGTCAGCCCTGATTACTCATCAGGTAACTCACACAGGGGAAAAACCATATAACTGTGATGAGTGTGGAAAAGCTTTCTGCATGAAGTCAAATCTCACTAAACATCGGAAAATTCACACAGGGGAGAAGCCCTATGGATGCAGCGAGTGTGGCAAGTCCTTCTCCATGAATTCAGACCTTGTTGTGCATCGGCGGACGCACACGGGGGAGAAGCCCTATGAATGCAGCGAATGCGACAAATCTTTTTATAAGAAGTCAGCCCTCACGAAGCACCAGAGGACTCACACGGGGGAGAAGCCGTATGAATGCAGCGAATGTGGGAAGTGCTTCCACACCAAGTCAGTCCTAGTGGTCCACCAGAAAACTCACACAGGAGAAAAGCCCTATAAGTGTAATGAGTGTGACAGGTCATTCTATGTGAAATCACTTCTCAATATTCATCAGAGAGATCATACTGGGAAGAAACCCCATGTGTGTAACGAGTGTGGGAAAGCGTTTTCCATTAAATCAAATCTTGTTGATCATCAGAGAACACATTCGGAAGAGAAACCCTATGAATGCACTGAATGTAAGAAAAGCTTTCGCCATAAATCAACCTTGACTGTACATCAGAGAACTCACACGGGTGAGAAGCCCTATAAATGCAATGAGTGTGGGAAATCTTTCTATATGAAGTCAGCCCTCAGTCAACATCAAAGAACACACACGGGGGAGAAGCCCTATGAGTGTAAGGAGTGCGGGAAAGCTTTCTTCCAGAAGTCGCACCTCACCAAGCATCAACGGACACACACGGGGGAGAAGCCCTTCGAGTGCAGTGAGTGCGGGAAAACCTTCTTCCAGAAGTCCCACCTCGTCGAACATCAGAGAACACACACGGGGGAGAAGCCCCACGAGTGTGGTGCATGTGGGAAGGCCTTCTGCTACAGGTCAGCCCTGACCATACACCAGAGAACGCACACCGAAGAGAAGCCATACAAGTGTAATGAGTGTGACAGATCTTTCTGTATGAAGTCCCACCTCACCGTGCATCAGAGAACTCACACAGGGAAGAACCCCTTTGAGTGTAATGACTGCGGGAAGGCGTTCTACGTGAAGTCCAACCTCGTCAGTCATCAGAGGACTCACACAGGAGAGAAGCCCTATGACTGTAGTAGGTGTGGGAAATCCTTCTGTAAGAAGTCAGCCCTCAAGTCCCACCAGTGGACGCACACGGGGGAGAGACCCTGTGAGTGCCCTCAATGTGGGAAGACTTTCTCCACAAAGTCAGCTCTTAGCAGTCACCAGATAATTCACACGCGAGTGATACCATAAGTTCTTACAGATGTGGGAAATTCTGCGTCACGTCAAGTTTTCTTACCCCAGAGAGAACTCACAAGTGGTACTTTGTGGATGTGCTTGGGTGGGAACCATTTTAGGTATAAAGTCAGCCTTTAATTGAAAACATACAAGGTGTTGAGGTTTGTCTCTCCATGAGTGAAAGGAATATGGGAAAATTGGGCCAAGCCTTGCCAAGCATCAGAGTTCATGTGAGGAGAGGGTCCTGAGACAAGCCTGTACCTCGGTGCCCGGCAGCAAGAGGAAGGTAGCGCACAGGATTAGAGCCTTTAAAGTCACATCTTTCTGCTAGTCAAGTAATTGATATCTGATGTGAAACTACATAGATGTCTTTATTGTAAGAGCATTCCAGAAAAGCAACAAGCAAAGGATTAGAAAACAGAAATGTAAGCAGCAAGCTGACAGGCCTTGAAGAGTCTCTGAGGTAAGCAGGAGTTATGTATGTTAGCAGGCTCGTGGGCAGCTTGCGTTTTGTATATATTTGATTGATTTAGTGGAACTCAGCATAGTTTCCAGGAAGTGTCTGCCCAGAGCTTAGTAACTTACCCCAGGTTTATCCACACCGGATGCCACTGGCGTTTGGCAACGTCTGTGATAAAACTCTTGTCTCACATGTAGTATTGAGTGAGAGAAGCAAAATACAGTAAAGTATATACCTTATTTTACTTTTCGTGTAAGAACCCAAATATGGCCACATATTTAGCTTGTTTGTGTAGACAAGGGTTAACTGCAGAGTACGAAGTAGAATGGGAAGCTGCCAAGCAGAACACGGAGACCTGTTGAACAGGAGTGTGGTCTGTGGTCAGAGCAGGGATGGAAGTAGGGCATCCCTGAGTACACCTTGTGGAAGTTGGGATTTGAATGAATTGTTTCACCTATTCAAACAAAAGCAGGTTTTGAATTTAAAAGCAGTGTCCAGTTGGTAGCTGAGTTGCCCAGAGGAGCTCTTTGAGCAGACTAATGTTCAGCATTATGACTGCCCGTCCCTATTAGGGTACGTCTCAGGGCAGAAAGCATTGTTGAAAGTCATTAATTTCCATGCTAGTAATATTACTGTTTTGTGAAGTAGTGTGAAGCAAAAATGCTAAATGAGCAGGAGAGTTGACTGTAAAATTGCTTAGGTTTGGCTCCAGTGATGAACGTGAGTTGACGTGTCACTGTTGCTCTGTGTTCATTTGCTGCCGTGCACTGAGGGCTGTGCAGCAGCAGCCCTGGAGTGAACGGCTCAGGTTGCCGATCTCGGTCCTCTGCGGGAGCCTGTGGCCTTCTGGGTCGGGAACCCAGGAAGTGCAGGATGAGAGAAGGGCACGGTCGGAAGGCGCTTCCCCTGGCCACACTGGAGGCCATGCGATGATAAAATGATGCTTTACTTGATCTGACATTTCAGTATGCAAAAATCAGAATCTATAATGATACAAAAAGAGGCACTACAATGCTTTCAGCTTTCAAAGCTAAATCTTACATAAATTCCTTATGCTAATTAAAGGGAGAGAATACAATTTTCACTGCCTATGTTTTTTTTTTGTTTGTTTGTTTTGTTTTAATTTAAAAGCTTGTTTGAAGGGCATGGTGGCAGAGAGAGATGTTCAGTTTGCCTCATCAGCCAGAGCTAGGCCGAGCTGGAACTCGGATTGTCATCCAGCTCACCTGTGGGTGCCTGTCAACTGCTGCCCTCTCTGGGAAGTAGCAGGAAGCTACTGCAGCAGCTAGAGCTGAGCTGATCTGAGGCCAGGAGCCTGGAGCTTGTTCTGGGTCTCCCACACGGGTGCAGGGTCCCAAGGCTTTGGGCCGTCCTCCACTGCTTTCCCAAGCCACAAGCAGGGAGCTGGATGGGAAGTGCAGCAGCCAGGACACAAACTGAGATCCTGGTGATTGCAGGGGCATGCCTAGCCTGTTGAGTCATCACAACAGCCCCAAATGTGCCCCTTGGAGTGCAACACAGAATAGTGTGTTCCCCGGTCAGGGGTCCCTGCCGGGCTATTTAATATGAACTTAATCAAGTGTTCATGTTTCTCTTAGGGGAGACTGCAGCAGCTTGAGTTGGGACAATAAATCAAATCTAGGATGTTTTTATGACAGCTGGCGCAGGCTCATTTAAAAGGCAATATTACTGTTTCTAAAAAGAAAAGTTAACATGAACTTTGAAAGATATCTGGCTGAAAAATCTATCTATCTAGATATGTTGTGTGCAGTTGGAGGAATTTGAGTAAGTCATGGGTGTTAGATGGTATTAGAGAATCAGGATCGCTGAAGAAGCTGGCAGTGTTAGGATGCCACGCTGAATCTGCGTGTTCATGATCTCTGCAACTTTGGAGTGGTTCTGGGAGCATGCGCACATGAAGCCAAAATGGCAAAATTGGAGCTAGTGTCGAACCTAGTGGTTAGTTTTCTGAAGAGTTCTTTTTATAACAGAACGTTCAAGGAAGTACCATATTACTATCTTACTGCTTTTCGTTACATACAAGGGATTATGCCCCTTGTCACTGACCTGCGCATGAACAAGCCCCCAGTTGGATTAAGCCAGGTTCATATGGTCCTGTGTGTGCGGCCTGCCAGCAGCGTTCATTAGATCCTGACGATGGAAATAGCAGTGTACACTCTTGCATACTTAGAAGGTAATAGAAAGTAAACACTGTCGGCATGATTCGTTGTGTGCAGTGCAGCAGTGCTGGGCCGGGGAACTCCTGGTCAACTGAAGTGGGCAGGGTACCCGTTGACCCATCTCAGGACTCAGGGCGGGCAGGCTGAGGCTGGCGAGCAGGGGTGGAGTGTGGCACCTGACCGTCCGGGGCTGGGCTGCCTGTGGGCCGTCGGGTCAGTTTCTCAGGCTGTCCTGTAATGTGACACCTGAAGGCTTCCTACTGAGCAGGGTATGTTTTTCTAGAACGTGTTGGGCATGGCAATCGCAGGACAAAAGGGTGTTTTATTGGCTGCTCTTGTCCTCTAAGCTTCCTGTAGTGAAGACATAATGTGTGTTTGGTTTGAAAGAAGCACAGTTCAGGGAGTTTCCCCTTTGGGCTGTGTTACATTATTTCTCTTCATACAAAAGCTTTATAAAACATTAAGACATTTTCTCCCTTTTTCTGCCGTCACGGTGGATGTGCCGGATAGCCCTCCTTACCTTGTCTTCTCACACAACTTTGAGCATCAGAAAACTCCTAGCCGAAAGCCAAAAGCAAAATCACCCTAGACCCAGTGGATTTGGATCAAGACTGGTAATACAATCAGCTCCCAGAGGCCACGTTGGAGAAGAACCGAGCCGAGTCCCTGAAGAGTGACAGTGCCGCTGCACAGTCATCCCATGTAAAGGTCCCTGTTGTCTCCTCTCAGGCTGAAGATGTCACCTTGTCTCTGCAGCCGGACACACTGGTTGCGGGCATGATGAGTGCGTGGGTTCCAGAACATGTGACATGTTATAAAAATCGAGTTACTGAAATCTCCTGATTTTTTTTTAAACGAGGTCTGTTGTAATGTAAGGATCTATATTTTCCCAGCAAATTGCTACTTGGCCCTAAACCATGTAATAAATCTAATTTTTTTTTTTTTTACCGATTTTAAATATAGTTGTCATTGTGTATTCATGGTTTTGCTTTTTGCAGTTTCATTCAACCACATTCTGAAAATGTTAAGTGAAAATTTCCAGAAAAATAGATTTGAAATATTAGTATATCACTACAAGCTGTTTTATTATTAGTGGTTAATCTCTTGCTGTGCCTAATTAATATATTTTCTTTCCCACAGGTACGGATGTATGGTACACAGTGCGCAGAGTTCGGTAGTGCCTGGCCCCAGGTGTTCAGCAGAGCCTGGGAGCGTGTCCCGGCAGGCGGGGGGCATGACTGCCTCTCTGTCGTCCTGGTCACTGCGTTCCGTGTGTTCCCACCCCTTAGGAAGGACAGTGGCGCCCAGAGCGGGCACGTTCCCTGTGCAGCCATCGCCCCTTTGTCCTCTCCTAGCCTGACTCCTCCAGCGAGGGACTTTTGATCTTTGAAAGGCCAAGGGGAGTCTGGTTTTGTTTGTTTGTTTTTTGTTTTCTTTCTTTTTTTTTGTAATAGGAGACTGTCCTAGACCCATTTTGCCCTCGTTTCCAACAGTTTAGTATTTTGGGGTATTCTTTGCAGTCTTCAGCCCTGATTCATAGCTTGTATGCACTCTAATTCTTTCTCATTTGGGTTCTGTTTTACTAAGCTGCTTTATAATTAAGCCAAAGATAATTTTAAAAAATTCTTACATAATATGTATAATTCACCTTTTTCACATTATAGAGTTGGAAGCATAGGGCTCTTCCTTCCCTGCTCTCCTTCTTCCCTTAAAAGATTATTATTATTATTGTTTACTTTTATTGGAAAGACAGATTTACAGAGAGGAGAGACAGAGAGAAAGAGCTTCCGTCTACTGGTTCACTCCCCAAGTGGTTTCAATGGCTGGAGCTGAGCCGATCTGAGGCCAGGAACCTGGAGCTTCTTCTGGGGCCCCAAGGCTTTGGGCCATCCTCTGCTGCTTTCCCAGGCCACAAGCAGGGAGCAGCTGGGACAGGAACTGGTGCCCATATGGGATCCTGGCACATGTAAGGTGATGGTTTAAAATTTTAAAAAAAGATTTATTTTTATTGGAAAATCATCTTTTAGAGAAGAGAAACAGGAAGATCTTCCATGTGCTGGTTCACTCCCCAAGTGGCCGCAATGGCCAGAGCTGAGCCAATCTGAAGCCAGGAGCCAGCAGCTTCTGGGTCTCCCACATGGGGTGCAGGGTCCCAAGACCTTGGGGTCATCCTCCACTGCTTTCCCAGGCCACAAGCAGGGAGTTGGAAGTAAAGTGGAGTAGCCAGAATAAGAACCAGCTCCCATATGGGATCCTGGTGCATGCAAGGCGAGAACATAAGCCACTAGGCTACTGTGCTGGGCCCAAGGTGAGGATTTAGACACAGCCATCGCACCAGGCCCAAGAAATTGTTTTGAAAGCTTTATAAGTTTTTGTTCTGTGAACAGAAAGTTCCTTCTCTATTCTAGAATTGAAGATCTGAGAGCAAGCAAGCTCTGTCTGCAGATTGACGCCATACATGTCTGCCATGTCCAGGCCTGCGCCAGGCTGAAGGCAGGAGTGGAGAA